ACGGCTTGGACTGTTGTTTAACTTCCGGTGAGAAGTGTTAATGAATATACTGGAATCACCGTCAGCATCGTCGAAACTTGAAACGATTTTTCAATACCGAAACAGAGCAAAAGTATTGGATAGTCGAATTTTATCGGGGAATTTGCTAGTTGCAACAAAGAAATTCAAGTTTTCGAATAATTTCTGTGAGATACATATTAGGATATTAGCATCAGAATTACCAGCCTCCTCAAAATAATTATTTCTATGATAACACTTAAGTATTTTTGTTGAATAATAATAATTGCTATTGTTGTATAATCATTTATCAAATTTAACTGCTGTTATTATAGTGATAATTATTGTTATATAACTTTCACGAATATTTCTTGTTATTTTAGTAATTATTTTGGACTGATTAAGCATAAAAATAAAGAAACTAAAAAAGTGTGAAATTAAATCATAATTATCGCATATATCAACAATTCTCCATCCAAGAATTAAAGATACAGATTCATAATATAATAAATTTTTTTCTTTTATTATTAGTATTCGTTTAATGTTTTTCCATATAAAATAATTTCATAAAAAGTAATATTTCTATGAAGAAACTGTACACCTATACGTATATATACATATACAGATATATTGTTACAATACGCGCGCGCAGTAGGCACAAGATGAATCAATAATATCAGGATAACAGACAGTTATAAAAGTCTGTTGTTACGACAACGTGTTTTTTGTTTTTTTTTTGCTAATTAGTCTAGATTCTGATGAAACTAATATCTGATCGCACAAAACCACGTATAAATTTTCTAAGAAAGCGATCATTAACGTGTTCTTACCTTCATCACCTTTTTCAAGACCAATGTTCTATTATTAAAATAAAAATGAAAATTACAAATATTGTTTTAAGATATCACATTTGTAGCTATCCATTATTTTGAAGTTGAATGAAGCTTTTGAGATAATATCGAGTTTGTAAAGGTGAGGAATGTTAAACTTAAAAAAAGAGAACATTATACAGTATCGAGCAAAGAAGGCTTTTGTAGAGAAATGGCGAGTTAGGGGAGGCGAAAATTCTTAAAATCTTAATTCTGACGACATTAACATTAAAAAAATTTAGAAAAGGAAATGATATAATTTTTAATTATTAAATATTACAAAATATAGTACAATTGAAAGGTACGAATAACAAAGTAAATATTAATTTAAATTTTCCCGCGTAAATGTTTATATGCAAAAATAATGGGAGACTTATATATGTATATGGAACCCTCTCCCCTACATTGTCATTCTTTCCGGGGTCGCCAATGGAGAGAGGCGGGAGCCTGGGGAAGGAAAAACTTATAAGGTGGGATCGCCATTTTTCTTGGGAAAGCCTACCATGCACAGTGCTATACTATCCAAAAATTGTTGATAAAATAAATGAAAAGTTTAGAAGTTTAATTATTCTCATCTGAAATTAGTTTGTTCCTCATTAACGATATTAACTGATTTATTAAAATTAACTCTAATTACATACTAAAAGTGTATTAAGCAACTTAAAATTCAAAATTTTACAGAAAAAGAAATTTAAATTTCTTTTTATTAATATCTATATATCAGCAATAACTATGCATATGTGAAATATTTACACGAGATAAATATTTATCAGTTTCTTCGTGCACGTTTCGTATATCTACAGTTTCTACATCCAGATAAATAACTCAATGTAATTCCATAATATTTCTAACCGCGTGAAAACAATAAAAATTGTATATCGATTACTCTCACGTGTATTACAAAGAACATTATCGATTAAACATTCTCTTTTACATAACGCGTTATAAAAGTCAACGAAACTTTACACCGACCATCGAAAGAATATTCAACTTTGTGATAAATCGCGCGAATGAAAGGCGTTCATTGTTTCCTTTGCCGTTCGTTTCTCTAAAGTCTAAAGTGAGCGACATTGAAACAAAGAACGAATAGAGAAACGACGAAAAACAAAACGTACATTGTCAAGAAAAACTGTGAGCAATTTTCACGATAATTAGCAACGTTCCTTGAAAAAAACAAATGTTGAAGCTCATTTTAACCATCGCTCAGCTGATACCGAATCACTTTTGACCCATGTCAATTACGACAAATGAAGTACAAGAGATATAAAATATATAAATTACGTGTGGCAATAACATGGAATGAAATAAAATAGAATAATATATTACATAGGAAGTATGAGTATTTAAAATATATTTTCTCTAAATTTTGCCCAGTTCTGATCAAATGTAAAAGGTTACGAAATATTTAATTATTTATGTACAGGAGAATACCTCTGAAATGACGAACAGAAATCGTTAAAAATGAAACGAGTTTCACAAGGTCGAAGGAAATCGAGAGTCATGGTTCGAAACAGACGATTACGGAATTGTTAAAAATTTAAAAATGCGAACAATTTCTACGATAACTCGTAATCACAACAATAACAAAAACGGATCAATTTGTTTAAAATACATTCAACTAAACTGAATTAACATTGCATTGAAAGTAATCAATTATAAATTCCTACTAAAGGAATCAATTAATCATTTTCTCTTTTGCCCTGCCAATTCACATCACTATGAAAGTTTCAATCCATAATTAGACAAGAATCTTATTCGTAAAACAGCAAACTATTATCATTAGTAAATGTACATTTCCTTCGCCTGTTTATTTCCCATTCGTAAACACGATGTAAATGTAAATAAGTAAGAGAACGGTGCGTCCGAGAAATTTGCATACATTGCGTATTAATATAAACACAACATTACGAGCACGTGTATGCTTAAAGCGATATAACAAAGTTATGCAATGATTTTACCACGACCTTTATAGCTACTGACATTCAAATAGCTACCTGAAACTAGCATTCATTACAGTCACAATTGCGGCTTGAGTGTGTAGAATGCGCGATGATCGAGTGATGTACGTAAACACGTGAACAAAGAAACGAAGGAGCTTGAATAGAGAAACATTAAAACATTTAAACGATATTACTCTTCATGAATAATTACCAAGCAAGTATAAATTTAAAAAATTGTGAGCAGTTGATTAAAGTCAAATTAAATATAACCGTTCTTCACTTTTGTGGTGAACAGAATACATTACCGGCCATACAGGGTGGATAAATTTATTGGCTACTAATGTACACAACCGATTTCAATTAATTTTCATATTACGCTCACTACTGATTTTTGCGAAAGAAATTGTTCGAATAAGAAATATTTGTTCACAGTCACTCTTGACTTTAACCGTGTTTCTAGAACACTGTAATTAGCAATAAAATAAAGATTTGCTCATAGCTAGAAAAATAGCATGCAAATTCACCGTGACAATAAATATACGCGTGTGAAAACTACTGCACGTAGCAGTTTCGTTTTAATACGAAACACCGGTTAATCCAATTACGAGTGACCTATGAAACGTGATGGTTTTGCAGAAAAATGTATAAAATGCAGCGTTTACGAAAGAATTGAATCAAACAAAACTATTAAAAATCTATATGGAAAAACGAATTCGTTCCTTAATTGCTTTCAGTTCTTTCAGTGAATCGTTATACTTTAACTAATTTCAAAATTGCAAATAAATTTTTAACTGAAATCTAACAAATATATTATACAGTTTTGTTAAATGATTTTGGTAAAATATTTGAAAAATTTTAAATGTTATATACATATGTATATAATTTGGCTATTAAGATACTTATTGTCATCTGTTGATATTATTGGTTGGTACCCCAAGACCCCACTGTAGCAGTTAAAAATTAATGATTTACAGTTTGTAAAATTTTGTTGACTTAATATCTAATAAGGAAACGAAAAGAACTTTTGAGACAACTTAATATCTACTTGTTTAATATAACTGGAGATAGGACTATTGAATAATAATTATTCAAATATCGTGATGGCAGAATATTAACGCGGTTTAATGTGGCACATTATCGAAAGAATATCTGAAAAATTAATATTATAGATTAGGTAAGCGATGTGAATTAGGTTTGTGAAACGAAGGTATTGGGTGGCATTAAATTTAACCAAGCGCCAAACCGCTTTCGATAATTCTCGCTATAGAACATTCTATAAAATTATTTGGCCTTAAACTCGGTGTTCCCCGTTCATTCGTGCCAAGTTCAAAATCTATTGGCAACGGTGATAACATCGACACTTCAGTATTTATAACTGAATGCATTCGACCGATGCTGCCAATATTTTTCGAGTCAACAAAGATTTCGAAATTAATATCAAACTTATTGCCGACCGTGATAGGGTAATCTAAGAAATGATGCGACTCTAACTTGTCTAATTTTTATGTCTGACTATTTACGGCCGTTTTCACTGCGGCGTGGCGCGACATTCGCCGTATTAACTTATGCATTAAACTTTGAATCATTTTTTTGTATTACCCACAATTAACAGCTTACTAACGATTTTATTGTGCTTATTACTTATATTTAACACATTATCCACCGGCCATAAATAAAGTGGATACGCACTACCACCTTATAATTAACAATAATCAGAGATTAAAAGGTTTAATCTTTCTTTCTATTTGCCTCCTAATTGAAGAACATCTAACTTTCAATATTTCAACAGAATTATATGTGTACTGTCAAAAATTAATAGGCTTTCAGTAGATAAATTGTTAATATAAGCATGTAAAAACATATGACAGAGTTGTAGTTTCAATAAAATAGCAGAACATAAATTTTCTAATTAAAAAATGCTCAATTAAACACTTTGACGGTCACAGTGAAAATAGCCATATGTAGTCCGACAATATACCGAGAATACAATCCTTCATTTCAAATATCATTTTAATGTCGTATAAAAATTTAAAAATAAGTTGACAGTCAACGTGTTAAGGATTTACAAAGCCGTTGCAACCCCTATAATCCGAGAAGGGTTATCCAAAGCTATTAACCTGTATTATTTTAGAATTTGTACGATCGAAACTCGTAAGTTTATTAGTGCTGAAGAGATTATTGGTTAGAGACTTACCCTAGAGATGCGTAGCGGTTGATGCAGGTCGTGTCCACCGTGCATACGGAATCCCCAAGGGGAGCCGCCAAGTAGGGTGACTTCTCTCGCGCTCATGCCGCCTCCCTCGCCACTTTTCCGCTACCACCCACTCGCGTTTCAACGGTATACGCGAGACGAGTATATAACGCTGCTACAATCGTCGTCACGCCGTTTCAACGAGATTGTAGTTGCCGCTTCGCGGCGTAAATTCCCTGCTCCTGCGTAATCTCGATACACCTACGTACGAACGATCGCATCTCTCTCGAAAAATAATAACACTTTACCGGCGTACGCGACGGACGCTGGCTGCGCAATAACCAACACGACGGTTGTGTTAACCGGTGATCGTTCGGAACTTCGTCGAAACGTTTTGACGAAGTTCAATCGGTCAAACGGCGATGAATCATGACCGTGGATCGACGATCGGTAATGTTTACGATCATCGAACAACGTTAGCGTTCATCGAGAACGAGGAAAATCAACACAAGCAAGAGCAATGAGGGACAAACACAAACACGACGCGCACTCGTCGATGGTTCGCGGAGCACTGACAGAACATTCCCCCTCCCCATAATCCCCTGCGCGCCACCCTCGGTTGCCCTGTCTTGTCAAACTCACGCTACCCGGCGAACACGCGCGCTCTCCCCACTTTGCCAAGACCACAACCAACGTTTCCTAACTCACGAGTCTGCTCGTGAGTTCGTTTCCAACGAACCACTTGTGGCTGATGTTCGAATCACACTATCTAACGACTTTCCTTTTCTCTTTCTTTTACCATATTCAACAAATGTTAGATACTTATGCATAGAAAGACTCCATTTTCAAAATTACAGGATGTCACTCGCAACTGGACTAAGATATATGTACTTTTAAAATGGTAGAAGATAGAACAAATTTTAATTAGGCTATGAACTGTTGTTTTGATATTTCAACTAAATACTTTTTTACGCGGAATGTTCCAAACAATCAATTTACCGAAAAAAATATGCATTTCCATTAAAATAATGAAAACGACTTTGAAATATCTAATACATAATTACCTTATAAATAATAAAAATACAAATAACATCATAAATAATGGATATTCTTTTTTAATTATTTAAATTAATAAGCAAATCTAAATTGCTAAAGATTCTTACTTGAATATAGTCCGAAGTCATTTGTATCGCTGTTTCCAATCAATTGTATTTTCATTTTTTTTCTTTTTCAAAAAATGCGTCATTTTCCAAAAAATCACTTGTTTAGATGACCCTTTCGGAATCTCTCGACACTGAACGTTCTGTGTAGCTGGACTCTGCCAAGTAGACTTCTGTGTTGTGATCAGACCGTCTCCACTTGCTAAGGGGTTTTCTACTGCTGCGAACGGAAAAACTTAGCGATACCTCAGGCGCTGTATCTTTTGGAAATAAAGACCAATCTTCACAGAATTTAATACGTATTATTAGCTAAAGCTTTAATAATAATACGCGTTAAATCCTGTAAAAATTGTTTTTTATTTCCAAAAGATACAACGTACCAAAGATTACAAATAAAAATTATTCACTCTATATTTTCTACTTGCTCTCTCACGCAGAATTACCACCTTCGACACAAGGATGTTTGATAATGGAATAAAATAAAGAAATAAAGACAAAAAATACTTCAAATAATACTTGTATTTTTAGCAAAGTATAAAACAAAAATGATCTACGAAACGTTAAGATATTGTGAATACATAATAATTTTTGTATGTAATATAAAATCAATATAATTAAACAAATAAAAAAAGAAATAAACTAAAATTCTTCGTTAAACATGTGCCAACGCAAATGTACTAAACTTCTTTTATAGCTTAACAGTATTATATTATTAATAATTCATGCTTTTCACGTACAAAAGTTATTTTAAACAAATTAACCACCATAATCACATGTTTCTACATATGTGAATATTTACGTCATCTAATAATTTTTTTACTTTCAAAAGTAAATAAAAATATCTAAAGCAAAAATTATTTGACAATCAGGAATGCATCATTTGTTATTATTTAAAAAAATATTTGCATTCCTAAATCAAGTCAACATAAATTTTTGTAAAAAGACTATGCTAACGAGTAAACAAATAAATTCAACAGTATTATAATAATGTAATCTTGATACAACCTCGATACTTCTTTTCTAACGTTATCAGTCGTTAGATAGTCAAACTTCCAAAGTCATTAGTTGAAGTCAAACTTTACCAGTATGTTCTGTAGTTATAAACTAAAGAAAAAATGATTACGTTTAAATTTAAAGTTCAATATATTGTCAAAAGGTTGTATTGAAATTAAACTAATTATTAATATAACATTAATATAATCTAAATATAATCGAAAATAAATTGAGTTAACATTGCAACTTCTCACTCCACAGAATTTCATGCAATGTTGAATGCTCTACTTTATAAAGCTTAATTCCAGCAACTTCGGCGATATACGTAATGTCTTATTTACTATTTCAAAAATAAACCAGTATGTTGAGGAAACAATTATAAAGGACAACAAGTAAAATAATTAAACTAACATAAATCACAAGTGAATCGGAACTTTCCGATAAATTTCCTAAATTGCCTCCAAATGATCATTGCAATAAGAATATTCTCTGATATGTAAAACTATTTTTAAACATTGAAACAATAACTAACTAAGCAATACTTCAAATATACTATACAATGCCACTACACATAATATTCATCAGAATTCAGAAGTCTCTGATGTAAGTTCAGAAACAAAATAGACTATCCTAACTCAGATTCAAATTAATCAAAATTGAAAGAAATCTCTGCTGTATCAGTTTACTGCAATAAAAAACAACCTTTTGAACTTTAGCTTAAGTGGTTACTGAGGTAAAATTAATTATAATGACAAAGTTTGATCTTTTAACTTTGGAACATTCTATACAATAAATATAATTCAAAAAACTCTTTGGAACATAGTTATAAATTGATATTAGTTACTCTTCTCTTGCACTCCAATTTGTATACTTCTCTTTCAAAGAAACATACACACCCGACTTTTTTAATTCCATACTCTGAGTCTTTTTATTATTATACTTAGTGAGATCTCCAACAGGTGCATTTGCTATAGTATCTAGTATCACGTTTGGATTATTTTTAACAAAATCTACGATCTTCATTAAACGCGTATCACCTTTCTGTTCCAATTTCTTTTTTGGTTTTTCATACAAAGAACATGGAATACGAGCGTAATACTTCAAACTTTTCTTTTCAAATTCTTGTATGTTCTCCACAGTTCTCCAATTGATACTTTCAATAAAAGCATTGGTTCTTCTCTCACAGACATATTGCATAATCTGTTTTAATTCCTCCTCAAAATTATTAATCTGTGATGGGCAACGATAATAGTACTTTTCCTCGCCTTTTTCTTTCCTCATGTAATCGGTAAGCACAAAACTCGGCAAATCATTAATAGCGTGAATCTTACTGATATCGTCGTAATTACGTACACAACAAAGACCAACGTAAATGGCGTTTGCGAAAGAACAATCGGCACTAAGTTCTACCTTATCGTTATCGATTGTTTTTCCCAGTGCCGCGTGGTAAGTCAACGTATACGGACGCAGAGGGAATTGATACAGTTTCACTTCCTGTTTCTTCTCATCAACCAACCAGCTACGTAAAGCAGGTAAAATTTGATAGTAATTTAACTCGATACGAAGCAATCTAACCCTTTGATTAGTTTCCAAGAAACAAACATCCAAACCGAAGACATTGACGTTATCCGCTGATAGAATTTTTTCTAACAGAACAACACTGTGAACTCCATACTGGTTGATATGTATATACTTGTATCCCTCTACGAGTACCAGTCCAGGATAGAATTTACCTTTTTGTTTAGTACTTATTGGTTCAAAAAAAGCTTCTCGTTTCGTACAGTACGGCGCAATAAAGTACCTTACTCTCGATACCTCCAAGTGTTGAATGAAACGATTCACTCTGTCTGTGATGTTCTGATGAAATTGTGCCATGTAGATGACGTCGAAGCGTTCTTCAGTGAAATACTTGACTCGAAAAGAACAATATAGATAGTAACGAAGATTGAACAGAAATGGAACCTCATTTTTCTGTCTGCCATGTTGAATCATCCTTCGAAATTCGGATATTTTATTTGTCAGCACTTTGTCGAACAATCGTTTGTCGGATAATTTTCTGATCGTCATGTTGGTAAGCTGTCTGATGATCTCAAAGTTACATCTGCTATGGACCGACGATTTGTGTATTGCGCTCAGTTGAAGTTTGTTCCCGGCAAAGATTAAGTGCATCTGATGCTTCAGCGATATTATGTACAACATCAGGAGCATAGTCGCCGACGGCAAAGTGCATGAATCTACGATGATGACTTTTGTACCGGTGTGCAGGTACTTTTTCGAATTTAGTATTAATTTATAAAGCAAATCGGTATCGTCCACTTCAGCCACGTTAAATAGCTGAACAGCACGATAATAATGCAAATGTAAACAGTTTACGTAAAATGATATGTAAGTGTACGTTGTAGCGTAATTATTCAATTTGAATTTCATTTCGCTCGCTTGATCTCGTCTGAAGGTGAGAAACTGTACAGTGTTCGCGTAATGCTTAGCCAAAGAAGTTAAAAGAAACGTTTTCCCGGTTCCACTTCGGGCATTGATCGTAACGACTTGATTATTTTTCTTCGCGAACAGATTACATATTTGTCGAAACGCTTTTTTTTGCGGCGGTGTTAAGCACTTGTAATACTTCGGGCTATTCTTATTTTGAAATTTATCCAAGCTGGTATCAGGGATATCGGTGTCATCCACATCGGTGTCGCTAGTGTCTGTGTCACTGTCACTTTCAGTTTGATATTCGGTGTCAGAGTCCCTTATTGAATTAACGATATATTTGTTTAATTTTAGATGTTCGATACTAACAACTTCGTACGCCATCTGTAAACAATTAAAGCAACAAAAATGATTAATAAAGCTTCAATTTGTATATCAGGAACTATGAATGAGGAAAATGTTCTTACCTCCGAAAATACTGCTTCTAGTTACTTTATTCGTGTGTTTCGTTGACCGTATCTTCGTACAAAATTCGAGTGCTTGGAATGTACACCTCATGCGTTCTATGTAATCAGCACACCCCTGAAATTATAATAAAATTATTAGAACATAAACATTTATATCAGACCTAGACGATACTCTGTTTCATCGAACAGTTTTTATTATGAGCTAATGAACGATTTTAATCTTGTTAACACTAGATTGCCGGACAAATAGATCCGTCAAAATAGGTATAGTACATATGGATTTTTGCAACTAAGGAGTGGGAGGGGAAGGAATTAGTATTTGTATACATTTCATAATTCTATTAAAAACCAACATATGTTTTAAAAAAAATTATTTAAGTTTTTCTATATACCTACATATATAGCAATAAAATCGTAAATGAGTCAAATTGACTCGCTCCGGTAATCTAATGTTAATTATATTCGCAACAAAAAATCCTACATAATCCGTGTTTGAAATGACCCCTCAAAAGCTTTTAATGATTCTCACCAATACTGTTCGTTATATATACAGGTCTGTTATATCGACAATAAAAAGATAAATACTTATAAAAAATTATTTATAATAGAAGGGAAGTACTACGCGTGTTATCTATGCCATTTGTCATCGATTATTATTTTTATCATATACATGCTTTATCATACTTTTATCACGGATTCTGATGAATATAAAACATCCTTTATTCTATACTATACATGGTATCTTTAATTATGTCCATTTGAAGGTCGATTCATATCATAAATCACGTTGTTCAGGTATACAGGGTCGGTTACGTTCCCTAATATTCATTTATTTAATACTATAAGATTTTAGCCTTATTACTCATAACGGACCATCACTCAATTAACAAAAGTTAATTTTGATGGAACTCTAGTACCTAATGTCTTCTTTTGCAATCATCCTTTATCTTAGTTATAACTTCGATCCATTTATCTTACTTATTTTTATTTAAAATTGATTGTTAACTTTCTTTTTACAATGCCGAAGAAAAAATTTAGAAAGGTTATTATATAAAGGGAGACAAAATAAAAAGAAAGTAAAATTTCAAGAATAGTTATTTAATTAATAATTATTAGAAAATGTATACCCTTGGACATATTTGTTCTTGTCCAATTGCCCCTGCAATTCTTTATTATTAATATATGAAGCAAGAAGAGATGCAGTTGACCTTTATCCGGCCCTTGTATGTATGTAATGATTCAATGAATATTACCAGTCCGTTAGACCTTTCATAGTAGTTGTACAAGTTTCAATGTCCACAATAATTAAGGGTTAAAGAGGAACCTTATGTCAGGTGGCGTGAAGAGTTGGATGAAATTTTGCCATCGGGCAAGGAGTGATTAGGCAAAAGTAATCGAAAAAAAAAAGAATAAAATTTTTTGTCCGAAACCCTGGTTTCGAGAAAATCTGTGCAGTTGCGACTGAAGGGACACTCTCTTTGAGATCGTTCTACCCCCTTAGACATACAAATTTTATACTGTCAAGGATTCAGGGTAGATTTCGAAAACTCATCCCGGACTCAACATGTTAATGATTCTGTTACAAAAAATTTCATTCGTATACATTTTCACGTGTATTGTAATTTACAAATTACATATATGTATACGCAAGCAACGGCAATTTGAAAATAGTAATAGAGAGATTTCCACGAGAATTTGCCCTTGTGAAACTATTCGATATCGCTACTAACCCAAACAAAAACGCAATCGATTTAACAAATATCCAAAGAAAGAGAAAGGAAATCAAAAGTGGTAAGGCGGCTTCCTGTACTCATATTACCGCTCTCCTCAATCACCGCTACGGCGCTTATCTTCAAAAGACGTTGAACAGGGCTGTTTTAAATACATACATTGTTGTACGCCAATGGTGAAGGTTTCAATCGAAATAACCAACAAAGAATGGATTTAATATATTCTGTAATTTTAAATAAGAAATTCTAATATTAAAAAAACATTGAAATTGAATAAGAATAATTATTCCTACCGGAATAAATTCTTAATTACAATCTTACAGCGATTGCGACTCGTGTAAACATAGCCGGCGTCTTTTACGCGTGCTGATACCCTTCTCACAACGGAAATTATTTTATTGGATATTACCTGCTATGCTAATTTTCATCATCCAAATCATTAATAAGATATAATACAATCAGTTTCTAAAGTATCATACATATTTACATCCAACTTTATCATATATGCAAAGAATACAAAGTATAAATATAATTTGTAACGTACAATATGTACAATGTCAGTTATGACAGAAACTAAAAATTGGAATTTATCCATTCGTTTTTTTGTCTTTATATTAGTTGTTTATATATACAAATTTTAACCTTGACCGGCTGCGTTTACTTCTCGAAACACTTACCAATATAGAAAACAAAACACCTGTAGAGTATCTTTCTGAGTTGTATATCATATAAAAATTAATTGTTAATTCTGTAATATCTCCGGTTAATATGAATCAGGTTTTAATCTATCTGCGTTGTATTACATACATACACTGGCAAAGATATGTGCATTTGTAGTGCTTATTGAAGCATTCGTACGTAGAAGCAATACCACGGGACTTCCCTGTACTTTATACGTATCATAATTGGTTAACGAATACCGTAACTCAGAATATTTTTGATTGTTGTATCAAAATTTCAAAATGCAGCAAAATGAAAACGATGCATGTAACAATACATACACTGCTATCATGGGTAAGGATAAATGAAGAAGAATAAAGATATTTAAAAAATTGAATTATACAAATTTAATATGGTGTAACTGTTACACTATGATTTCAAAAACTCACCTTTATTTTCTGTAAAATCCGAATGCAAGTTGATTTGTAGGTACTATCCCGGCACACAGTCCACTATAGTCACTCCGGATACGCGCTCTGCGAAATTATGCGAGTGAATGCATCGTAACTCTTAACTGCGTTTCGTTAACAAGAGGGCGCTGAATCATTTCAAAGCTGGATACGTGGCACCATTGCTTTGACATTTCTAGCCAATCAGGTAGTCCATTTATTCGTATATATCAAGTCATTGGTCATTTCCACTAGTTACAAAGGCAGCTTTATTTTTTCTTCAATATGATTCTGGATAATCTTTAGTTTAGGATAACAGTTCTGAAAATTTTTAATCGAGTTAGATCATCCATTTTATTAAATTTACTTCAAATGAATAATGCATTAATAATATAAAAGCAACATTAATGAATTGATTAGATTTTTTGTCGATAGCTGTTTTTATTTGAATGCAACGTGTTTTCCTAGGAAAGATTAAGTTCTAAGTTTCTGAATAGAACTTATACACAAAGAACGGACGGAAGTATGGTGACTCATTCAAAACATAAAATCCTTCGATTAAGTTAATTAAAAATAATATTCCAAAAATGTAAAATTTATTACGCTTTTCAGATCACATAACATAATTATATATATATTTGGATATACCAAGCCCCTTTTGTTTCTTATAATTTAAATTTTTTAAATGGTATACTGATATTTTTCAATGATATTAAAAAAAATAACTGGAGACACATAACTGGATGCAATAAATGATAGAATCATTATTAGCGCTGTAATTAAACCTTGGAGACTCATATCGGGCTCATTTTCACCCCCGTCTTCAGGAGCATTATCGAACGCTTCGAGTCACAACGGCTGATTTAAATCAACAATTGTTTACATTAGAGGCGATAAAACGACTCAGTTCTCGAAACACTAACCAGTGTTCAGTCCTGCATGCTAAAAGAAGACGTATGTATCTATTTGTTCGGATACATTGTACATACATATGTCAATTTTATTTGCTTTTTACTAATGAGATTTATTGAATATTATACAATAAATTTTAGTTTGTATTTTTTTGATTTTGCATTTAAATAAATATTTTACTTTTATTTCACTCATATGTTGTTTATTTATATTCTTTTGACAAGTAATCAACAAAAAAGACTTTACAGTTAAAAGTATAATTTGTTATGAACATAACGTCACAGACCTAGGTTACAAAAAAGAAAAAAAAAGTATCTGTTGTATTATACATCTGACTCAATATGATAATTGATGAGTGCCATGATGTAATTATGCAGATAATGAAAACATTGAATATATAATGAACATTTTTGAATATCATTATAATTACTCTTGCAATTTGAAATAGGAAATCAATTTTTAATACTTTTCGTAATCCATATTATCTGTATGAGTACTAGGTAAATACAGGCATTTCTATTGAGTCAGCTCACGTGTCGCACCTATTCAGTCAGCGTTATACGTAGCGATAAGCGATATGAGCAGATTGGTTTACAAAGATGTAATAGCAATGAAAAGTAGATTTAACTCTCATTCTCATGTATAAAGAAGTAGTAACATAAGTGTTCAATTCAAAACGATCAAGAAGATGATTGTAAATTGTTAATAAATTACATATTAACTAGAGATATTACCCTACGTTAACCGAATGAAATTTTAGAAAAATCTCAATTTGGTTTATTAAAAACTGTGTAACTTTATATTACGTCAGACGTTCCTGTTTCGTAACTCGTTTTTCCCTGCACAAGCAACAGGTGTATAGTTAGGTTTTTCCCCCGCCTTCTATGAAATGACTTTATCGATGAAGTTAATTTTATCGGGATTTCCAAAGCAAATTACTTTTTAAGGTGATGCGAGCGTCGAGGCTGAACTTGGTTGAACTCCGAATTCTGCGTCGATAAAACAGTCAACGTTTCGTCGAAAATTAGGCCGAACAGAAACTGATTTAAGCGCCACCTCAGTTATTGCATCCAACTAACGGCATGCTACGTCACTTTTCGCATACACCGATGTATATACTTTGGGCTTTGGGTGACTTTTCCGATCTATTTTTAATTTATATCAGGTTACCGTAATCATGTTTATGGTTTATTGGAGTATGATAACAGTAGAAAGTTACCGTTACATGATCACGTTACACTTGCATTCATGAATGATATCTATTAATAAATTACTTCCAAGTTTTATTCAACTCCATTATTTATTAATCAGCAATAATAGTATTAATTATTTCATACAAATCATAAAATATAAACATATATGTATGTATAATGATGAATGTTGACGTCACAATTTAACAGATATGATGCATCTTTTCGTTTACAAAAAACCATAGATGACGTAATTTAAATATACACGTCATGGTTAAATATAAGCAGTGATTATAGTCACTGTATATATACCGCAGTTCACCATAAATGCGACGCGCAGGTTGGAAGATGGTGGGGGAACGCAGCGAGCTCTCTGCTAATCGCTTTCCACTTCATTTGGGAGTATCGCCAATCAGGGCAAAGATGCGCACTGGAGATGCGTGAAGAACGAAAACTGATCTTTTCGCAGTTATGGACTCTGGTGAACTACGGTATATATTCGTTGATATAAGTATGGCGTAGGGCGGTGTCATGTGTCACTATTTCGATCGATAATTGTTTTAACGATAGTGTTCAAGCCGATCGTTGAGCGTCGCCCATTTTATGTATCAATAGACACTGTGCATTTTTCTATTATGCATTACCCATTAGAAATTATTCTCGCCCTATTTACGTGAGGAAATGCTAATCAAACAGAACAAAGAGGTTATATAGAGTTCTCATTTTGACAGGCGCGAACACCGAGCTCTGTGGTGGGACTATAAGGAAAGGCGGTTAAAAAGTCGCACAGTAGAAGACTGACCGTCGTTAGTTGAACAGAGTTTGAACTCGTAGTATATTGAGCTTCAGTGACACTTATTAACTATTTTTTATTTTCTGAAATCGTAAATAAATACTTATCAGAATAAAGATAACAGATAAGAAAAACAATGACCGAGATGGATAATAAAGAGACAGGTTTGTGTATAAAAATTTATTTAAAAATTTTAATTTATTCTAAACTAAATTATTTAAAGGTAAAATTTAACAACATGAAGTGTTCTTTTTTTTCTTGTTACAACCATATGTTACAATATCTTATTAAAATAGATGAAAGGAATTTACATGTCATGCTTAAATCTTTATGTGAAGTTATAATACATTAAATAGTTTAAGTAATATTTTTCTTTTGTCAGAACACATTGTCATGACACCAAAATGTAAAACTGCAAATTCTACAACACTTATAATAGAAAGGCAATTTCTAGAACCACCAGCAAAAAATGAAAATGAAAATAATGTTCACATTGCTGGAGGGGATCATAAAGGAATAGTTATTAATAAGCAAGCAGCTTCTGGTATATAAATGTTTTATAGTTTTTCAATGTGCTAAAATATTTTCAATGTACAAAAAATTAATTTTATATATTTTTTCTTAGTTACAAATGGTGAAATTCATCCAGCACATCTTTGTTTACAATTCAGAGTATTTTTGGTAAGTGCTCAAACTGGAAAACACACGCAGGAATCAAGAACTCTTCAATTTTGGTTTTCTGGTACATTGTTAGAGAGTGAACATCCTAGTGTAGCACAAGAATTTTTCAGGGAATTAGTGAGTCCACAAGAATTTCCAAGAGGTAAAAATTATTTTAAATATTTATAATGATTTGGAGGTATAATTATATATAGTTAATCCTACTGTTTATTAACATATCTACCAGGATATAATTTCTGTTCAATTCTTTAGTATTGAAACCATTTAAAACTGTACTACTATTTCCATATAATGATTTTAGTAAAGTCTATGTTTTCTTTTTTACAGATTATGTTGGTTTTATAAAAAAAATAATGAAATTAATGTTACACAAGTACTCCACTATTAAAAAGATAGAAGTAGAATTGAGACAGCTTGAAGAACCAATAACTCTTCCAGCTAGACCATGTAAGTAATACATTCTGTTACAATAAATTAATTTGTCTTTTTGAAGTAATAATATACTGGATAGATAATTGAAAATTAATTCCATATCAAAATCTAGTTTCACTGGTTTTATTATTCAATAACATATACTTCTTCTCATTTTAATGAAATAATCCTCAAGTAGGGAGTAGCATCAAGATTTATTTGATTAGACTCATTGAACTAAATGGTACTTGATTGAAAGATATTGGAGGAGTGTCTCAAGTGTACATTACAACTGAAGGAAATGCACACTTAAAATTTGTATTAATCATGTTACTTGTGCAGATTTTCTTATACATGTTGTATAATTTTTCTGATATGAAATAAAAATGTTATTTTTAATCTTTGTTATTCACAGCTGATACTGGTCACATACAATTGACACTTCCATATAAGAAAATTATTTGGAAATCAGGTTGGAGTTGTTGAAAAAAATTGCATACTTTATCACAATTTGTTTATGTTTATATAATTTTTTTACATGCAGGCTATTGTACGAAAACAATAACAATTTAATATTTGCCGGTCAGGAATTATACAAAGATGTTTCTTTCGTTGCAAAATTTTTGTTTAAAATGCAAAGTAATAAAATAGATGAACACTGTGTAGGATATAGCAAAGAAAAAAAATGTGATCAGTTACAAAAATAGTAGCTCTGTCTTATGTTGACCGGTAGATATATATTTTACTGCTTCACACAACAAAGTAGTAACCATAACAATATTGGCTTAACACTTCATGCTCCTTAGCTTTGGCTTTACATAATAACACAGATTTTAAATGTTTATTATTTGATTCACATTCAGTCAACAATTAAAATTGAAATTTGTAGTGATTCAATCGTAAATTGGGAAAATGGAATTTATAATAAAAATTTTTATTTTTGGTCATTGAGTAGAAAGAGATATTCTATTTTTAACCATTTTATTTAAATTATTTATGAAGTATATGATGCTTGTTATTTAAGTGCATGGTTATAAATACAATATTGTTATTCTTTGTCTAATGAGATACAAAATTTTAACCCATACAACTAATTGTATGAATAATATAGTATCATTTGATGTGTTTAATATTAATTAAAAAAATTTAATATTTCACATTGTCTCTTCCAGAATTTATTTTTAATAGATTTAGTGTAAACTTGGCAATAATTTCATTACTATCTTACAATTTAGCACAGTGCTATATAGCGTCTATTTAAAGATTTTACCTTGTTCTCATGGTTACTGCCATATGAGATAAGTAGATTTAATTTCTGTGTCAGTAATACTACAAAAGGCATTAGTATTACAAGTTACCTTCTTATTTTAAATTGAAAGTAGTTCTTCACCATATATAATATGGCAAACGCAGACAATGTACCATATGCAGTTACAAAAATTGTAGTTACTTATTCATAAAAATTTTATTAAAAAATTATTTGCATATAACTGATACAACACAAAGTGATGTATTTAATATTTTTTTATATTTATTTAATAGTGTCAACAGATGAAACAGTTATGGGACAAGTAATTGAACTGACATTAGAAAAAGTATTAGAACTTATTGAGTCAGCTTATCCAAATCCAGTAACAGTTACTGATATGGCAAAGTAAGATTTTTAAAAACTATGTTTCAATCAATATTCTAGATACATAAAAATTAAAATGCTAATATTATGATTATACTTATTATAGAGAACATGGGTGGGATCCTTCTGCTGTTGAAATAAAGTTAAAAGAATTACAAGAAAAGGGTGTTGTTAAAGCAATGGAACATGGAGCTTTCACTAGAGTTGTGCACCAAGATACTCAAGTTCAAGTAAATTTTATTTGGATATTTTAACTGGTTTTATAATCACAAATTTTCATAACAAAGTATTTTATTATTTGGTTCTAGGTCGTAAAACAAATGCCAACTATGGCAAGTGCAAAACAACCAACTATAGCAATTATTACTGCACAATATTGTGAGAAACTGGCAGTTGATTCAATGATTGAAAACAAAGAGACGTTTGTTCGTTATACAACTGTTGGTAAGATATATTCTTATTATCATCTAATAATTACTCTTTTCTTTTACACCCAGTTTATAAATCAATGTTAATAATATACAGTTACATAGAAGGAACACAAAATAATAATTTGTCTTCAAGACATTAATTACTATTTTTATTTTCCAATGCAAACAAACAGAACATGCTGTTATTATATTTTCAAAGATAAAGCAATATTTTATTATTGATACTCTGATTGCATTTTTTTTTATTAGTCTGATTTAGTTTTTATTATATTGTATATAATAAATTTAAAGTTTAAATTGAAATATTTAACAAATATTGTGTTTTGAGAAATATTGACTGTATTTTACATTGTATAGAATACTAGTTTTTGAAATAATTATGTTAATTGTAACACTTTATTGGCGGACTTTGGAGCAACAATCATTTCTTGTCAATTCTTGATAGAAAGAACTAGCCTTTGGTAAAAGTTACTCGTGCAACTCCCCGGCCAGTAAAGTGTTAATATCGCGTGGTAATCGATGGTAAAAGCGTTAAAAGTATTGGGAACATTAGTTCATTACGCATGAAACTTTAGGTACGGCAAGTTCACCTGATGCGACAGACGGAGTACCGCGAGTGATATGCCGTTTCGGTAAAGTAGTCTGTAATATAGTTTCTTTTTGTTTCGTTTCAATGTCGTTTAACGTTACAGCTTGCCAATTGCTTGTTTCTAAGAATCGTTGCAGAGCCATTGTGCCGTAAAAAATTTACCTTAATGGATATTTTAAAAATATTTGTTACATGACAAATACAACATTTTGTTATGTTACAATAGAATCGCTCAAACATCATCTCATGTATCATGTTCCCATATTTAAAACATTTATTCTTTCAGCAATGTTAGTGAACTACATTATGTCTTTCGCACATACATATTAAACGGGCATGGTTATCACAAATTACGTCTGCTATTTTTATGTCCTTCATTTATGTGTTATTTTATTTGTTTTTATCCTTATTTGTGACTGGTACTAACTTTTTATAATTATTGTTTTTATTCTTATAAAAAAAAAAACCGGTTAATAACACAAATATCAATTTTTTTATTTTTTACGTATACACTTCATTTTATTATGTTATTAATATTTTATTTTGTAAACTTTTTCTTCAAGATATAGCAACAATTTTACATTATACATCTTTGAATATGCAAAAATAGATATTTTATATCTTAAATAACCATGTATTTATGAATAAATACAACCATAAAGAAAATGAAATTATTTGATGTACTAATAAATTTTTTATTGATAAATTTAATTGCATACCTGATAATGGTTACTGAACACAATTGCATCTATTTGGAATGATTCGTTTTCAATTTAATCACAATATAACACAGATTTGATACCAGTCTATTGTTAGCAGCACAATGCACTTGTACTATACACAGATTTCAGAATTTTCAGTTGTATAAAATTTGAGTCATGTAACATGAGACAATTTTTGTTATAGGTGAATCAAATGTTTATACATTAGGTAATATTGGTGCACACAGAATTGTATGTACAAAGCTACCAACTGTAGGTCATACAAGAGAAGCAATGACTGCAGCAGGAAATACAACTACTAGATTATTAGGTAACATTTAAGCAGTTTGTTCTTTTTATGATTAACATTGTTTATAATAAATTTCAAGTATAAATAATCAAATTTAAATAATTTCTAGGTACATTTCAAAAAGTGGATTTCGTTTTTCTAATCGGAATTGGAGGAGGTGTGCCACATTATACAGATTATAATAAACATGTACGACTTGGTGATGTGGTTGTTTCATATCCTGCTCCTGTTAACAAAAAATACATCTATGCTTATTGTGAAAGTGCAAAGATGAACGAAAGTGGTGATTATCATTTTGAAACCAAAGAATACTGCCCACCAAATTTATATCTTCAAGAAATTGCTGCCAATCTTAGAGACCAAGTAAGTGTCTTTTACTATTAAAAATTTAATGGTATTGATTATGTTATTTACAAATTGTAATTCTTTCAGTCGGAGAATGAACCAAATCCTCCATGGCAAAAGTACCTGAAAGAAGGTTTAGATGCATTAAGTAATCAAACGGAACATGATTTTAAAGCACCACCGCCGGAATCTGATAAATTATATATGGCTATTGGTGAAAGAGATGTTATTGAAGTTGCACATCCTACTGCGCCCTCCGATGCTGTAAATAAAAGGTTATTATCATACATATTTTAAAATAAATTTATTATTTTCAAGTATTGTGATGATTTATAGTTATGTGTTTCGAAAACCTTACGCAGTATTGATCTTCAAAATTTTTAATAAAATAATAGAAATAAGTGTTCTTATGTTACAGGGTGGATGGTTGTTCACGCATTCATTTAGCTCCAGTGGCATCCGGTAGACATATCGCTCGCGACGATCAACTTAGGCAGAAATTTGCGGCTCGTTTTCGAGCCCTCGCATTCGATGCAGAAATGGACGCCGTAGTTGAAAGTATTTTGGGTAATTGCCGTGAAAGTTTCGCCGTTATTCGAGGTATTTCTGATTACAAAGATGGCTCCCGTATAAAAGAATGGCAGCCCTTTGCGTCCTTAGCTGCTGCTAGCGTGATGAAATCTATCATTTGCGCTATGGATCCACCCACTAACGTGTAATATCCTTATTGAACGTTGCTTTTCCTTTCATTCCGCATAGTATGTTATGCGTAAGAGTAGTGTAATTTTTTTGCAATTTCTATTTTATGCAGCCCTTCTATACAAGGTGGACCAACTATTTTTATTCATTTAAAATAATTAATGCGCTTGAGGTAAATCAAGCGCGAAAATTGCATAATAATTATTCAGTGAACAATTTAGTTTTATTTTCTTGGGTCACTTAATAGATGTCGCATTGAAAATGCGACATAAATCAATCATTTGTCTTACGATCATCAGAAAGTATGATTGTGATTGAAACTTATGATAGTAAGATGCACCAAGTGCATTTTAATTAAGGAAATTATAGTTAGTACGAATGACTCTTTAAATGGTAGGAATCAATAATATAGTACGCTCACGCTTTCTAAATCATTTCTATATCGCTCAAAAATTATACACCTAATGAATGAAAATTCATTTTGAGACAGCTGTTTGGAGAACATTTTTTACAATCTTTGCATTTATAAGGAACGTATACCTTTTCAAAACTATTAATCTAATATTTATATCCATTTGTACTGTTATTAGTTTTATGTAATTTTGAAAATTTTATAGGATTTATATGCAAATATTATTCTTTTATATTGCTTAAGTACGAGGTTGAGAAATTAATGTACAGTATCGAGTACAATAGGCTCCCCTAAGGAAAATGGCGTTACAGGGACCGCTTGTGAAAAGCGATGGAAACTTGAGGAAGGGAAAGTCTCCGAGGAGGATCGGGAATCCAAAAATCCGGCCAGGCCCGAGGGGGCAATTGTCATTTTCCCCAGGGAAGCCTACCATTCTCAATACTATACAAGACTAATCAGTTCAGTGATCTTAAGACTGGTGCCATTTTCATTTGCACACGCGTAGATTCTTTAAAAGTCTATTACATAGCAAAACAATACATTTCACAATATGAGAGATCATAATTTTTACAATAGTTATATAGTTTAATTATTGTAATAATAAGGTCCTCGAATATCAAATCTTATCGGACAGGATCCGAATTAAAATAGATAGAACCATGAAAAGCTTTAAATGAAGCCTTGGGTGTAGTCAGCAAAACAATTTAATCGTAGAATGTGATATCTAACATTGAAAGCAGAAAGTAATTTGGCAGTATTTATTGAAACGCAATCAATGTGTCGTTAAAACATTGTCATAGGAAATATTACATGTTTATCAGAGTATATTGCCGTTTCAAACAGAGTTGCCGACTTTATTCGTGGGTCATAAATGTGTATATCCACAGAATTGGGAGAGCTAAAAAAGTATAAATATATGATACCGTCCGAAGGTTTGATTGTACTTTCAGAAATAACAGAAGCATAGCGAATATTTCTAAGTATGGTATCCCTTTTCATAAACCTATTAAATACAACAAGTGAAAGATATGCTTTCACTAAAATCAGTACATAAATACAATTTATTTGTATATAAAATTAAAGGATCATAGCAGATTTTTTTTTACCTATTAATTATGATTTTTTTCTTGTATAGTCATTGGATATATTATTATTCCAATGCATTTAAATTGATTAAAGTTTCACATTTTATTTTTGTATGTATTCTACAAATCACCTACCAAAATTTGAAAAAATGCAGAAATTCCATTTTATTGTACATAATTTTATGTAAATTAATAAGTGCAATTAAAACTTTGGATGGTAGTATACATACCAAATACATTAGAAATTGTACAATTAATTAAAATTAATTAATCCAAGTGCCAATGTGTTCAATATATTTGGTTGATGGGGAAGTAAGGGAAATATCTCTGAAAGATAAAGAAATTAGAGGTATTCCAGAAATCAAATTATCAACTTTCAATCATTATTACATAATCAGATTAATAGTTAAACCGGAAATTGAACCGAATTTTGTTTACAAGCAATATTGTACTTTATCTTTTAGAGTGGTATCCTCGTTGCCAGCAAAACAGACCAAAATATTACTGAATTGTATTGTCTCTTTAAAAAGTCGACGCGAATATTCAAGGGTTTGAAAAACCTTAATAGAAAAAAAGAAAGGAAATTCAATACCTTTAAGGTTTGTTAAAGAACCTTTCAAAATGTAACTTCCTCGCATTTCAACGTCTTGATAGATTCTAAAGCACAGGGTAGCATATGAGAACTCTATATAGTATAATATTTAAGTGACATGCAACTATCGGATTCGAGCATAAATCTAAACGATTAGAAAAGTAGTACGTACATGTAGACATAAGTAAGTACACATGCATTGTTAGCAGTATCAAAATCTTAGAATTCAACCTGGATCGTGATGATATAAATTCGGTATATGTCATTGATTGTCACTGAGAAGCTCTTTATTTATTTATTTATTTGTTTGTTATTTAAAGACATTTATATTTTATAATTTACAAAATATGTAAACAATTTTCATTTCACGAATGTTATTTAGTTTTTATTGTTTTGAATGAACGGGATGTTCAGCCTGTAAAAAATATTTTATACAAAAATGTTTCTATTTCAAACAAAAAACAACAAGTGGCAGAAAATTCAATAGAAAAAGAAGACTGTTTTAACTTTCATTAATAACACCATATCACTGTTACATTTTAACTAATACCATCATTGCTGTTTTGGATGTCATTGACTATTTAAAAGTAAATATAATTCCTGGATATTGCATGTTTGGAATAGATCAGTTTTTGTATTCAGTATTTTTTGTCAGAACACTGGTGAGCACTCTGTATATATGATATTGATATATTAGGTGAAAGATAAGAGTAGAAAGAAAAGGGAGTGACAGGACCTCAGATTAATCAATGAAGAAAAAAAGAAAAAAATACACAAATCACTTGTTGCGTAGAAGCACATTTTTCAAATTCTATATAGAGAATGATTATCATAATATATATGTATTATTAAATACAGACACACGAATACGTAAATACAGATATACAGTTATTTAAAATATTTAATATATATAAAAATATTATATAAGTTTTATTATGTGGTAAAACTCTTAAGTTCAATTTACCTGATAACAGATTCCTACTTATAAGGCCTAGACATTATTTTGTATGGCACGAATGAACTTTGTTGTTACGTTTAAACGGGGCTTTCGGGCTTCAAGCTTCCATAATTATGCATTTACAAGATTTGTGTTAATATCGGGCGCTTTAAACGCTAGTCGCACTATTGTGTTTTCTGTCTATTTTACATGTAGCCTGTACCGTTAAGTGATCGATGCCTGCCAAAAGTTTGGAACCGCTGTACAAACCATAGATCACAGAGATCAACAAAAAATAAACAATTTTTATTAAATTGTGCAGCTTTACTTACTAAAACCATTTTTCTTTCGTTCTTCAATGTTGCAAAAAATAATAAAATAAAATAATCAGATTTCCTATGGTTTCTTATTGCACATGTATATTACTTTAAAATTATTAGAACGATTACCAAAGTATTTGGATGTGTATGAGTAATGTAAATCAAGTTTTTGTATATTACGTAAAATTTGACTTGCAAATGTTACTACGTAGCTGATTGTAAAAGACTCAGTTATTAATAAGCCAAGGTCCAGAAGTGGAATCCTCAGACTTCAATGTTTTAAAAATAGCAAAACTTGCTATAATGTTTTACTTAAAAGTAGTTGTGGAATTACAACTCATTCGTTATATCGTCCATAAAATATTTGATAAATAGGTGATTCCAAACTTTTAGTTGGCAGTGTATAAGACGTCTCATGCAGCTGGGACAAGCTATGCCCATGCCAATGCATTTTGTTATTCTGTATGAAAAGGTATTAGAGACCTGGGTCGAAAATTAATTAGTTCAAAAGATATTTTAGGAAGAAACAGAGAGAGCTTAGGGTCTAACAAATTTTTATAGAATTATATACTTTGTTACATATCAATCGAAGCGTATTTTTATTCTGTATAAAAAAGTATTAAGGTATCTGGGTCGAAAATTGAATGGTTTAAAAGATATCTGTGGGAGAAACCACTAGACTCTACCTGTCTCTCCCCAAGATATCTTTTTAATTAATCAATTTTCGACCCAGGTGCTTTAATACTTTTTTGTAGATAATAAAAAGACGCTTCGATTGACGTATAGAAAGCTATGTATCTAATTCTGTTTTAAAAAGCGAAGACAACCTTGAAATCTTTGGAACCGCTTCATTTCCGGTACCGACACATGCATCACATTGATGTTCCATTCGACACCATTTAATTTTTTCCAAGACTTTTTTTCTATCTTATACAATTTTAGAGCTGTAGTTTGGCCCAGTTGCATGGGACACCCTTATCTACGTCCAGCTGGTTTGTATTTAACACTTTCGTTAATAACACTCATTTGAACAGTCACTTGCAATAAATCATACAATTATTAATTTGCTGTAATATATTTTCTAAATATGAAATACAAAATGAAATCATTCATTTCAAATCATTGAACTTTTTTTACACATTGTACTATTCTTTATATTTAATTGTAAATTAAAACCGAATTTCTTATTAGACATGCAAAATGAGAATTCTAACGAACGTGTAAAGTGAAACTTATTTAGCTTCCGTAATGTACATACAATCACAATGGATTTCAATTTTGTCCAGTAGAAGCTAATGTCTTAAATATTTATTGTAACTATTACATGCCATTTTGATTCGGAAAAATAATCTATCGTTCTAATTTAGTAACTAATGACTGTAATGTGTGTTGAAAGAAGTTTTAAAGGTTCAGAAATGAAAATTTATACTTCTTTTTATGCTTATATTCGAGTAGTCTTCCGGCCATCAGAACGATTCGTATTGACATGAGACCTTTAAGCTTAGATATTGCCCGGTTAACAAAATGGGTGCCACCGAAACGTTTTCCATGAAATTATATATACTAATTTTCACACGAATTAGACATCACATTGGCGCATTTTCTCAAAATCGTGGAAAAAGGTTTATTTCTATTAATTTATGGATTAATTGTGTATAATTTTCTGGTAGATAGTTCCAATATTTAATTTGCAACATTTTTGAAAATATGTCAGTCCAGAATTAACGAGGCTGGTGTTGTAAGCGGAAAATAAATATTTCATGACGAAATCAAATTTTGGAAAAGAGATAACAAGATTGAATTTAATGGTAATTAGAAGAATGATAGTAATTTCGGTGAATGTTTTGGTAGCTTCCATGATTAGTAGCATTTTATTAGAATTACAATATTTACAGGGGAAGAGGAAACAAAGTGTTGTATCTAATTGTAAGTTACTTCAACGCGGAAGAGAAACTGTGATAATATCTGGGCTTTTCTGCGTGAAGTAAGGAAAAGTACACAGAGAGAGCTATGATGGAAATACAGTGACTCAAACATTTTTTTACGTAAAAGTTTTATTTGTTGCGCAAAATAACTGTATGTTATTGATTTAATGATATGAACGTGCGCAATAATTAAGATAAATGAAACATAATGCAATAACTTTGGCATTCATTTTTTGTCAATTATTTTATTCAAAATCTCACAGTAAAATATGGTTTTCTGTATTTTTCTTAAAGTTTGTAAATGTGTAAACAAATATGAGTCATTGTAAATTGGATCCCGAATGTTCGGTTCTGTTATAAAATAGGTAATATGGTATGCGAAAAGAAAAAGTAAAAAAGAAATTTTTGTTAAAATTTAGTATAAAAACAAATAACAGTATATAATTTTGTTTAAAGAGAAAAATTTTTGTTCAAAAATAATTTTGTTCCAGGGATGAGAATTTGTAAAAATCAAGATAGACAAATTTATATGAAAGTACTATTTTTAATTTCGACAGGTGAAGAAATCTTTTCGTATCAACTTCACGTAGATCTTTATGAAATTTCATCTCCATAATGTGGTTTCAATAAATAAAGGTCCATTGTTCCTACGTTTATTGCTATATATTTTGTGTATAACATAGTGTTGTAATTCTTTTGTATATTAAATTTGTGTACAATTTTATGTGATTAAATTAGTAAGATAGAATACTTGTTGAGCACATGAAATGTGAAAATGTAATTCGAATTTTTTTTTTTTTTTTCATATTTTTGATCAATTGTTTGGCATATTAAGTCTATTTTCCTCGTGCCTTCAAATTTTGCTAAAATTGGATTTAAATATGAAATTCATCTTGTTCTTGTATAAAGTGTCGAAATTGCAATTAAGGAAATTTTAGTAAAGTTTTATTGTTTAATGTGTTAGTATGCAAAACGAAGCGTGTCTATATTAAAATCTTTATTACTAATATAAATCTTACAATATCTTTTATTTAACGAAATATTAATTAATCAATTGATAATTTTTTATCATTTCTTCACATTTTTTTTCTACTTTGCTTACCTGTATTAGTGATCTCAACGTACACTGGTATTGTAACAATATAAATACTTCTTTGTTCCAAATATTGTTAAAATAAAATATTTCTACCATTTTTATACCTGATATTATTAAAAATATTTAAGGTATTCCACACTGGATCAAGTATTTCGTTAAACATTTTTTAATTGATATATAATTCAGTCTTTAAAAAATTCATTAAAATGCTGATAAATATGGAATTTTAATGAACACATTTTCCTTAATTTTCTTGCTAATGACTTTCATTTTTGTGTTCTTGGAGCTGTGAACAGCGAAAATACCACTTTGAAACAAATATACTTGATTAAATAAACGTGCAGTACCACTGTAAATTTGTAAAATACTTGGAATGTTACATAAATTATGAATTTTGGACAATTTTTATCAGTATAATATTGTGACAGCAATCATAATTCAATGGTTGAAATTTTATAAATTTCATTGATTACTTATTTTTATATTCTTAGATGATATTTTATTATTCTTCGGTGGTTTAACGTTAATACAACATGTTCTATCACTTTTAATCAGTATGTACTGTATTTCTGCTTTTACTTTCCTCATTTCTGTTCAATCATTTTATCTTTTTCGTTTACGTCCATTTTTTCATTTCCTTCCTCGCATTTTATAGCAGTTGCTTTCGTCAATTTCTGCATTTCTTGTTCCATTTTTTCGTCGACTTTCCCGTATTTGTTCCACCGTTGTTCCTTTGATGTTCCGAATAACAAGAATATAATAGTTCCAGCAAACGAATTTATCGCTGCTATGATAAAAACTGAACGCCACTGGGATATAGTTTGCTGAAAAACAGTACAAAGTAATTAATTTGTATACACGCGTAACTATAAGGTAAATTAGCTTCAAATTGATGTGTCTCATATGTGCCATTTTATAATACCTTTATGTCAGCAAACTTAATGTACACTAAGTTTGATAAGAGATAATGCGGTAATGTTTGAACAACCATACGGAAGTTTATAAATTTGTCAAGATTATAGATAGATAATGATTAATCACGGAAGTCGTCATTTCGCTTTTATCTGTCTTATTGCAAATTAAATAAGGAAGATCGTAAAGAAAAAGAATGGTTCGTTATTAAATACTCGTTGAATACCATGAGATTTATCGATGATTGACTTAATAAACTTGAATAATTAAAAAAAAAGGATCGCGAGTAGCATCACAATAGATAATAATGTCGATCATTTTTTAGTGTCAAATAGTACCTATCCATAAAATTAATAAGATAGTGTCAAACCGGCGCGGCGGTGTTAAAGGGTGCAACAGCGTAAAAAAAATATCCACTCTCCAGCAGCCACCACCCTCCAAGTGGAGCCGGACATGGATGAATTGTATATTCATGGGTTTGACCAATCATTGTATCGGGTACGGAAGACTCAACGCCTGACTCTACGTCAGCGTAAGGAATTTTATTCTTGGGTCGAAAAACTTAACCTGAATGGGTTAGCAATTACACCCATCATGCGCTTTACCCCCGTACCATAAAATGAATAGTCTAAACCCTAAACCATCAGTTGGAGTATGCGCTTGTTTGAATAAAGTATCGTATTTGTTACTCACGTTATTGTTTGTCAAAACGCCAACGACTGCAGGTGAAATGAAACCACTCCAAATCACCACCAATCCGCATAAACCAAGCAGAACACTAGCATAATTCGGGCTCAGATCAACGAAGTTTGCGAAACTGGAAGCGGAAACTGCACCGTTTATAGTAATCCCTGCCATCATAAAGATTATAGCGAGAGTTGGTTGGCATCCACTGAAACCCAATATCAAGATGAGGACGCCTAGAAGACCCGTGGACACAAAAGTGGCCAGTTTCCTAACGTTCGTCAAGCTCATCCTCTTCGTACGTATCAGCCAATCGCTCATAATTGAAAAATAATAGGAGAAGATCATTCTCATTAAATGTGGAGCTCCAGAGATCATACCAACCTGCAAATATAAAAAATCAAATAAAATTGAAAATAAACATTGAAAATTATTTAAACAGAGGATCAATTGCCATGTATTTTTCATTTTGTGTTTAGAGCGATTATTTTCTAAGTTTCCTATAAAAATATGTTTCATTTACCGCATTGATGTTCCATCCATGAATAAAATTAAAGTAGGACGGTGCTTGGGTCATCAAAGTAAGAAAACCCCATCCACTGCTCCAGTTAGCAGCGATGGTAACCCAAACTGGACGCGACGTCAGTATGGATTTCCATGGTATTCTGGTCTCCTGTTCGTCGACTGAATCCCCAAGATTATCCAAAATGTATTTCTTTTCTTTGTCACTTATTCGGGGATGTTGCTGGGGCGAATCGTACACCAGGAACAGCCAGAAAACGTACCTTTAAAATCAGTTTAGTTTTATCGGTGCCATTTTTATCCCTTAACCACTTTCGCTATTTAATGTTACATGACAACTTGTAGATTCAAATTAGGAATTAGTAGATTTTGTACGAAATCTAATTTCTAAATATAATATATTTTATAAATTAGGATGCACGTATGCAAAGGGTCCATTCTATTAAAATTTCTGTGTAAAAGGCATTACCAAACCACACCAAATAATGATGTTACATAAAAAGCTGCAGCCCAACCGAACGTGTTACTAACAGCGGCGCAAAGTGGATAAGTTACAGCAGCACCAACAGAGCTACCTGAAAAGTTACAAATCTTAAGAAACAAACGTGTAAATACATGTAAGTATAATTGTATTATTTATTTAATATATTTTCCCCGAAGATGTGATCAACTCTTACCCAAATAGGCACTGACGAATCGGCTTCTCTCATTTGGGGGTATCCATTTCGCTGTCATATTATGCATCGAAGGCCAAATTACACCCTATGGGAGATAACAATTGCAATGCAATAAATATAAAAAGTTTATAACTGCTTTCCTGTTTGAATAATTTTAGTACAATCGTTATGAATGTACAGTAGACTCTCGTTATATCGCCGCGAACGGGATGGTAGGGACGGAAAATTTTGCAAGTTTCCCAACTTTCAGTTGGAGGCAAACAAGGAGATAAGATTGTATCATTTTCGTAAGCTATACTGATGGAAGAGTAGCACTAGCATGCTTGAAAATCTGTGCGAAAGTCAAATCGCTTACGAGCAATATAACGAGAGTCCACTGTATTAATAATCGAAACGAAAGCTCGCAACTTTGTTGACTTACCGCAGCCAGACCCTGAAGAACTCGTAGGAAGACAAGAGCATAGAGATGATAATGCGTTATGAATGGAATGAAAAATCCGATTAAAGCTGTGAAAAAATTTCCTAAGCCATAAACAAGTTTGGTCCCATAACGTCTGGCCAATAGTCCGCCAGGAAGTTGTGATAACCAGTGCAACCAGTAGTAAGCTCCTAAAGCTAAACCTTGCTGATATTCATTCCATTCAAATCGATCTTCGTACTGTGAACAATATTTAATAATTATTGGTGGACACATTTGAAATTTGAATTAAAGCCAAAGTTCAGTCCCGAGCGTTTCGCTTTAATCGAATCTTTAAAAATGTACATACCGTAACATTATATGGGATTTGTATAGTCGAAGGTGTTGTAAAAGTGCTGTTAATGTCGTACGTTTTATTATGTAATAGCTGGATGGATTCTGAATTGCATTGTGCAATTATAGTTGTCTTTGGACGAGGCAGTACCATCGCCACTATCGTCAAATTCAAGTTGATCCTCATCATATAATTAGCGGCAAAACCGAAGAAAACCAGATACCAGAGTACATCTCGGCATGTTATCAATTCTCTTCCTGAAACACAGTTATTTCTTATATAGTATTAAAAAGGATTTAACCTTCTGTTCTGGCAACGCTACACTGCACTATTTTTTTCAAAATAATTCACAAAAAATTGATCACGTTACTGCTATTTACATAAATAATACTATCTAAAAAACAAATTTTTTTTGACAAGTCTGTATTTTTACATTTTTCAAATAATGTATCACCTCCGAGAAATGTCTCGGAAAGGCTAATATTAATTCAGGTTTTAAATCTAAATGTTCTTATGTATCTTTTGTTTTCGATAATCGATGATATTTCAAGACTTCCAAAATTGTTGTTTAAAGTGTACTGTATCGTATCATTGTTTTTTATATTATAAAATAATATTGTTACGTTAATTATTTCTTATGTATACAAATATGAATGCAGCCTTTGTGAAAGTTCAAAGTATCCAACACCTTTAAAAATTTCACAAATTTTTAATTTTTCCAATTGATTCGCTTTCGAATATGTTAATGTACTTGATGAATGTACATCAAATAAATTGTCGTGTATGCCTGACATTAAATGTTTAAACTTGCAAATCCAGACTGCACTTGTATATACAACTAATTGTTTGGACACTTGAAACTACATACAACGTAATAGAATCAAAACAACATTCGCAAACAACGCTTAATATTATCGTCAGATAATATCTGCCCATTGATACAAGTGATATATTGTAATAATGTTCATGTTATAAACATTAACATAAAATATGTATGAGATTAACGTCAAAATGTTTAATAATAATTGTGTAATTTAGAAACACGATTTGATTTATTATACTAACTTTCTATTCTCGTGTTACAACTAGGGATAGCAAGGATATATCGATGTTTTCTGTCAATTAAAATTAATGTTTTTACCATGAATATTTAAAAATTGATATACAGAAATCATCGATGATTTACGATCGTCTTCTTTTCGTGCGTAGCACAGTATCGTGCGACGAACAATAAATATGGTATCCAATACATATGTCAAAATGTTTAGAAAGAAAAGTAGACTTTAATTTCGTCTTCATTTTTAATTTTGTTAATTCCTGATCAAAATTGAAAATAAAAGTCTATTGTAAATTTCAGTGAATTATCTTTAAAAGCTGAGGTCTCAATGAGATCTTTTTTGACTTCGTATGCTTTAAAATAAATAAAAATTGAATCTGTATCTATCATATAATCTAAAAAATAATGATCTTAATCATTAAAAAAGAATGGTCTTAAACTATGTTATTTTATGAAAAGTGGAAATCCATAGTGGGCGAATTTTTAATTCAGCGCTAATAAAAAAAGTGTTAGTTTTTCCAATTGCACCACCAGTTAGATGATTCTTGAAAAAAATGAACGAAATTCAAGTTGTTTAATCTTGCATTTAAATTTTTCGAGCATTAAAATTCAACTCACTATTCTTCATTTTCTCGTTCTTCAACTGCTCCATTATTTATCAAATAAATTGGAAAATTGTCAAGGAAAATCACTTCGACGATTATGCGCGTTTCAATTTTAGTATTTTAAGGTACACTATTCATGATATTTCAAAACACTTTTGTATTTGATTAATTTTAGCGTAAGTTTCATGAAACTATTTCACATCACATTTTCCTTTGACCAATTTCGATTACTGTCGAGTATATTCACAAGTGTGTGAATGGGTTAATGCCGCCAAGAACACTGTGTGTCTCTTCTTCGATTACAATCACGCGAGCACTGAGAAATCTGCCCGCGAATCTGCAGCAGCACGGAAATAGTCGTGATAAAGAGAATTCACGTTTTGTATGTTGACTTAGCTTTGATAATTCCATTCTCGTTCAGTGATGTTTATTATCAAGAAATATGCATTCGGTTCATCGAATGCGAATGATGTACAGGCAGTCACAAGAAGTCTACATGTCCCTTATAAATTTCATTTGTCTAACTTTGGTACTTTCCGGTAGAGCAGAAAACCAAGAGCGGTCATGTTTCTTATATGTAAGTGGGTGTAATTTGTATTATAAAATCATGTTAGATTTCTATTAAAGAAAATAAAAAAGGAATTTAGTTCAGCCAGTTCAACTATTTGTTTTTTTCATGTTGCCAAAAGTGTGCGGTAACCCATCTTTCAGTAAACCGCTCTCAACTTGGCTTTACTTTGTAGACCCCATCGACAGCCGTGAGATCTGCTTGGCAAAAATAAGTGTGCCCTTTTTCTGATCCCAGAAAAAAAAAATTGATTATTAATTATTAATAATTAGATATTAAAAAAACATAATTCTTACATATTATTTTATTAGATTACATATATAGTATAAGCTATAATTAATAATTACAGTATAAATAATAAATTTAAAAAATAACAATTTTCATTTTTTGCTACATAGTTTTGCTACAACAGTGAGTGTATTTTTCTTTTTTTACATTGAATTATAACTTTCATACGTAAGTTTTTTGCTAACCATTTCTATAACTTTCACGATAGTAATTTTATAATAACGTAAATTACGTTATTTTCTTTGACTGAATATAGCAACTAAAAACCAAAGGATAGAAAAGGTTTTGGAAACAACTTTTTATGTTAAAAATTGAAATTCCTAAACAAGCAAGATAGTTGCATATGTTAAGTAACATCAATGATCACTTTTACTCGGTTATGCAATTATCGTAATTGGTCGCCGAACTGTGTAGCGATAGTTGCACAGTATAAAAAAGAAATTCAACACAAGATGTAATTTTGTTCTGTCGCAACGTACAATTTTCTTTCAGCTTTAGTTACTTGTAATAATCAACCCTTAGACGGCGGACCATGAAGAGAGCCACTTAATTCTTAAATTATTCTTCTATAATAAATTAAATTATTCTTTTAATGAAACGTATTTCTTTCATTCAAAAATCATACATTTAACTTTAGATTAATATCCTTGAATGTGTTTATTAAGTTTAGGTCACGACTGACCCGGACTCCGCTGTTCAATAATTAACTAATGAATAAAGAGGAATTAATTAATTCAATGTGTACTTCGAAAGCATATGAATGCTCAAACAAATGACATGCGTGAAAAATGTTCTCTGGGGGTTCGCGAATGGTATTATGTAGTGGAAGTAGGTGTGGGGGGCAATAGGCTTTTGCGGAAAGTTAGCGAGAGGAAAGTTATCAAGAGTCTTCTATAACATGTAAATACCTGTTGGCTCAAAGTTTCACGAATGCACGGAGTATAAATTGTTAATGACTATTATGCCCGTTTACTTTCACGATAAAGACCTTTGAGGATCGATAGGTTTATAGGTAATTAATGATGGCAATTTAGCAGGCATGTTTCTAGAAAGAAATGTTTCCCGCGTTTACGTAAGACGTGTGAGTGATCTTCGGAGGGGAAGTTGACTGTTGCAACAAACGGCTTTGCTTTCGGATGGACAGTCTTCATTCAGCTTCTGACCGAGCCAGCGGTACGGGATTAGTTTTCTTCTTGGTGCATCGTGCTCACTGACGTCTCTCCTTGTATATTTATCTACGCCACGCTTGACTTGTGCTCTATCGTTACTCGCTAACACCTTATCGACGAGCAATTTTAATTATTCAACGAAACGAGAATTTTCTCTGTGAAGAGTATCAAGATCCGTTTGTTGTTCGTTTGCTGCTTATCAACAGCCATTTAAATTATTCAACGGAGGAAGAATACTTAATTAGACAATCATCAACGAGTTTCCAGTGTTTTGATTTATATTTTCTCTTCTGAACGTTACACGAAATGTAAGTATTTCATTCGTGGACGAAATTTCGAGGGAGTTCGTGTCAAGGGGTGGTAGCTTAACGTGTCATTATTATTTTTCCAACTCCTTGAAAGGAGTCCACGTCAAACTCTAATGATTATTTAAAGAAACTTTTAATTAATTTTTGATGATCCTAGTTATTTCTTATATGCAATATTGTTTTACTGTATGTTTCATTTAGAGTTTGTAACATAGCTTTAATCATTTTTGCTATCAAATAAATGTTTCCTTCTTGATCAATGATTTAAATTCATTTCAAAGTAATCGTATACAAAACGACATTATTGTAACCTGTCTTTTATTCTTTGAGTAGTATGGACGTACACTTCCGGTCAAAAGTGTGGAACTATACTTATATCAATAAATGTTCAAATAAAAATTTGTTGGAAATATGATTGCTTCTTTTTTCTAATTGATAATATTTAGTTCTTAGAAAAAATAAAAAATTTTGCTTTTTAATTTTAAGCACAACTCAAATTGATCGTTGAAAAGATTTTAAACGATTTCCAAATTTTAACCATCATTTTAAAAATTTTAGAACTTTTCAATGTATTAATTAGTAAATTAAGGAGATTAGCTTTTTACATTTGATTATATTAATAAAATAGGGAATATATGCAATAGCAATATCCGTCGTATTTTTAAAAATGTTGGTGGAAAATTATCTTTATACACTGAAATTATTTTGAGTCTTAAGTAAGATGATCCCATATTTTGGTCAGCAATTTATATATACCACGATTCAAAGGTTGGATTAAAATAAAAATATGTAATAATGCCCTAACGATTATGTTATAAAATGTTTAAATCATTTTCTCGTTAATGTACCTACATAGTTTTATCGTTTTGTACTTTGATTTTAAAAATCTTCGAACGTAAACGTGATATTTTACGAATTTCTTTAACTTCTAATCTCAAAAAAAGTGATTATTGATTGTGATGCACATGTGCTCAGTGATCAAGAAAAAATAGATATTAATTACTAATCAATGTACAGTCACAATTTATTATTTTTGTGCGTTATCTGGAAGAAATGAAATGTCTTTAACCTCTCGTTGCACAGTGTTGTAAATACGCTATATAAAATAATATGTTATTAAATTTTTATATTTTATCAAACGTAAATGAATTACACATTACATTATTAACGGATTTATCTAAACATTTGGCTTATCCTTTACAATGATCAGTTTTTGTTTTACTTTCATGTAATATTACAAATTTGTGGTATTACATAATTTTTTAAAAATAAATTTCTAAAATTGAAAAATTTGTTTATTGTTATTTTCTTAAAATTATAAAATCATGCAACAAAGGATTAATGTTTTCAATAGTTAATTTTTCACGGAAGATGATTATATGAACAAATTTATTGAACGTTTAAAACGTATAAATTTATAAGGTTCAAAGGTTTTATGTTTAGTTTAATTTAATTTTGGTTTCTCAATAAAATAATGTAAATATCATTCATTTTTCACCTTTCAAATAGAAGTTACATAATTTTTATAACTGCGTAAATCTAAAAAATATAATATTTTTTAGTCAAAATGATATTTCTAATAACACGTTTAGAATCAAGAATTTCAGTAACTCGACTTTACCTGGTTCACCTGGAACACTTACGCAAACCAGTAATTTAAACATTCGTTTACATGGTTATAGCAAGTTACATGGTTCTGCTATGGCATCGAAAAAATGTTCAACTACTTCATTAACTTCAATTTCCATAGATTTGAAGGAGTTGCCTGTCGACAATATGCCAAGCAGTAAAACCAGAATTGCCATAATCGGTGGTGGTGTGGCTGGATTAGTGGTAGCTCGCCATACAGCAGCCAAGCTGGACACGTACAGTCTTACATTATTCGAGCAAACCGATCAAATTGGTGGAACATGGGTCTACACGGACGAAACCGATGTCGACAAACATGGATTGCCAGTTCATAGTAGCATGTATAAGAACTTGAGGTTAGAGTGAAATTATTTCTCCTTCTTCGTTTGCTTTTTTCTTTACATTTCGTTAAAATTAATTTCACATTTATTACTTGGATTTATTCATCATCGCGCACATTGAAAAGACGCGTTTACATGACAAGTACTTCAACCCTCCGACGGCGGACCATGGAGAAAGCCACGATTTTAATTTAATTTTGTATTTTATACTATTTTCATTTTCTAAATTTTACACTGTTTCTTGAAAAATTATTTTTCCAATATATTATGGAACCCTTTCGTTTAAAAATTATACATTTAATTTTCGGTTAATACCCTTGTGTATATCTCGTGAGTTTAGATCACGATTGACCCAGGCTCCGCTGTTCAAGGGTTAAACATCGCGAATTTTATTATCTAATTGCCATGCTTATTCAATTGCATAGTGATTCAGATGTCTTTCTACGTAGACACTGACATCCTTGATATTACTGCAACGAACAGACATACTGCCGCCGTTGATGAATAGCACGCTCCATATCATCCGATAATTATTCAAGGAACAAATTTTCGCTGTACCAACTAAAGAAAAAAAGAATACACGTATCTTAACTAAAGCATAATAATACTCGTGATAATACTTTTACTTTGTAAACACCGTCCAGTGAATGAAAGCATTTTTGTACGATAATTAGACATAATAACATTAAATCTACGAAGACATTAGATGTCTTAAAATTAAAATTATAAATTAAATGTTATTCAAAACTTCCTTGTACACTGCAGTCTTGTAGAATCTTTATTATTTTTTTCCAAAGTGCGATTTAGTTTTAATGATTTAAATCTTCCTCAATTTTAGAAGCCTAAAATTCCTTTCATTTTAAAGCAAGACATTTCGTTTGAAAATTCCACACATTTTTTCATATTTGTCAAATTGAACTTCATTAGTAAAGATTTTTGAATTTTATCGCTAACTTTATTCGAGTATTTAAATTTCTACCTGCGTGCTGCTTCAAAACAGATTGTACTATAAACATAGCGTGAAAAATGCACATTTCTTCAGCTAAACGTAGCCACAAGTGTCTAAAGCACGTCAGCAAAACACGCGTTTATACTTTGTTTTTAAGACGACTGCAAAATAATTTCCTAGTTCAGTAAACACCTTTCACAATTGGAATTATTATTTGGGCCCGATGAAATATAGAACGTTCGATGATCGTTTTGTTTTCGTGTCATTTATATAGTGATGACGATAGTTCAGTTCTAGTCGGTCTAGTCGGTTGCGATAAACTCTACTGACACGATGATACACTCCTTGACATAGTAACGAAACGAATCGGTTTGTTAAGAGTCTCCGGAAACCGAACGAGTTCGATGCTTGGCCAATAAATCGTTCAATCGTGTGACAAATAGGAAGTCGATTATTTTGCGCAAGGATATAGTCTGATTTTCATTGCCGAATATTTCATAAGATGTACGCGCAATAATATCTGTATGATAGTAAGAATTATGAAATGTAGAAAAGCTACTGGAATTGCACTTTTACGATGATCCATGTGCTCCGTGACACGATGAATTGACATTTTTCAATGCTTTTTTGCAAATGTTTATTAATGCATTGATTGAAAAAGGCAATTCATTGTTGAGATTGACCTTAATGTAATACTATAAAAAGAAATCATAGTGATTCAGAAATAGAAGGCCATCTTAAGGTGAACTAATGAACGTAGGAAATCTCAAGGCAATTAATGATTTTGCCTGCTGTGTAATCAGTTTTTAAAGCTATCGTGTTCGATAAAGAATTATGTGATACAACTATCGGTACCGAAAGTAAAGGGGTTTCATGTAATATCACTGTAAGTTCTCAAAATAAAAAAGGAATTTACGAGATACAATTTTTTGGTTCAAAAAGTAAGAAGTTTTCAGTTTAATAAGATAATATTTTTCTATTTATATGACGTACATGATCGTAGTTATTCCTGATAAGATAGGAATTACGGAACCAGAAATTGCTAAAGATTAAGGAAAGCTAAATTTTTAATTTTATCCATATACCATTTATTACTTGTTAAGTTCAAGTTCGATAACGTAAATTATAAATGAATTAATGTCACTAATACTATCTGCGATACTCTTATTGCATTTCGTAATCACTGCATCATCAAATAAGCTTGAATAATTAAATATTAATTAATTCTAACTCTAGGTGTATATATTATACGTATACCTTTTTATTGAAAAAAAAAAAATTGACAAATGTTAGAACTGTAATTAACGAGCTTAAGACTTAGGCTGTACTAAGAAGTATGTAATACAACTTTCGCAGGTTTTGATGTTTAGCATTTAATTAGTTATTTAATCACATTGCAGAACAAATCTCCCTCGAGAAATAATGCAAATACCTGATTTTCCACTGAAATACGACGAAGGATCGTCGTTTGTTCACCACAGTGTGATTCGGGAGTACCTAGGGGATTATGCCAAACATTTTAACTTGTATCCACATATAAAGGTAAAAGTGAATCGCATAATCAGAAAAGTTTGGCTAATTTCCCTAAGAAATAATAGAAATGTACCAATTATAAACAAAAACTTAAATACCATTACAAAATTCCGTATGAACATATTGTTATTTTAAATTGATATCAATTTCCAGTTAAACACATTGGTGAAACACGTGGAGCCAGAAACCTTGCCGAACGACCAGGTAATCTGGATGGTCACGTACCAGGATCTGGAAAGCAAAGTAGAAACGACTAAAACGTTTGACGCTGTGGTCTTGTGTAATGGTCATTACACTGTAGGCCATATTCCACTCATTCCAGGTATTGAAAGTTTCCCTGGAGATTCTATACATAGTCATCAGTATAGGGTACCGGATGTATATGCTAAAAAGAATGTATGCATCCTCGGTGCATCTTGGTCCGGTATTGACATCGCCCTCGAGGTCTCGCAATATGCAGACAAGGTACACAAAACCTCCACGAAATGGCGAAACAACAGAAATTTAATTTTTAACGATCTTTTGAAAATGGTAATTGTTTGACGACGCAGGTATATTTAAGCCACAATTTACCAGATCCTGTGGACTCGCGAATGTCGAGAAACGTGGAACAAAGGGTAGGAATCCAATCGATCCAAGGAAACATATTCGTCTTCCGTGATGGTTCCACGGCCGAAGTAGACAGCTTCATATATTGCACCGGTAAAAAGACTTGATCTCCTTCGTACATATAAGTGATTGAGGTATCCCAAAATTAATCATACATAAGTAAACGAACTTTGTCAGGGCCCTGTCGAATTCTCTTCAGGCCTGAAATAAATAATAATGCATGTTAAATCTTTGATAAAATTTCCTATCTAATATTATTATACACATCCTCGTTGTGTACTTTTGGATCATTATTAATATTTATGACATTTCGATTTTTTTTTTTTCTTTTATAATAAGTTAAGGTACTATAGCGAGGTCCAAAAATCTCTAGCTTAATCGTAATTTGCAAAGAGAGAAATATTAATTTCTAAAGACTATCCATGGGTAAAATTTCATTTTATTTTATTAAAACATCTAACAACTACTGACACTAATTGTTTGATACTTAAAATAATGTACATATAATCTGTCTTTCATTAAAAGGTGAATGGAAATTTTTGGATCTTCCTACTGACAATTAAAAAATAGAGTTTGTCCCTCGGTAGGACCCTGACCATCGAAACCAATTGTACAGTGATACTAAAACTGCTATGAAATCTATTTTCAGGCTACGAATTCACGTATCCCTTTATGTCATCTAAAGTGGAGATACGTACGGATAACAATCACGTCGAGCCGGTTTACAAGCATCTGATACACACCGATTACCCGAATTTATTTGTAATGGGCCTGCCAGGAATTGTTATTCCCTTCCCTATGTTTCATCTGCAGGCTCAATATATTTTGGGTATTCTAGAGGGTCGCGTTCAGTTACCTTCTTCCGAGCAGATGCGCCAGGAATACGAAGCGGAAAAGAAGGCTCTCCTCGACCAGGGTATTCCGGTATGCATTACAACCGACCTGATAGCAACACTTTTATTTTTATATATAAATAAATATCTTTATTTCCACAGCTTAGACATATCAACAAACTAATGGAGAGGCAGTGGGCATATTACGATGAAATAGCCACCGCGGCGAATATCCCGGGTTTTCCACCAGTGATCAAGAAAATCTACGACCACGTTAGCCAAATGCGTGAATTGGACATCACCATTTATAAGAACTACCAGTATCGCATAATTGACGATGAAAATTTCGTAGTGTGTTGTTGTAAACCTTGTTAGGGCTTAAAAGCGAAGGTTAAATAGGAATACTTTGTACTTCAAACGGTTTGAAACGAGACTGTTCAAAGCTCGCAATTGTTTTGCGTTCAGTGATATCGATAACGTTTGTATTTTTCGTTTTCTTAAACGTAAGAACGCTAATACAGTTCATGCGAGAATTACGATGATAGTAATAACGTATATATATATACATATCGTGTCAAGATTCAAATGTTAAATACGTATGATTATTATTGTTCACGAATTACAATATCGTCGCGAACGGTTGTGCGTTTTATAACGCATTAGGTGGATTTTTATGTCATAAACAATTATAACATATTACAATACAGTTTGAATGGAAGATTATGTCGCGAACAAATATAAGGAATGCATCAATTGCGTTAAAATTTTGTTGATATAAGATCTGGTGAGAATTATTCAAAGAAAAAAAACGAATGATTTATAAATAAAAGATTTACATACATATGTAGATCTATCTAACAAACTGAGTTGTAATTATAAATGAAATATACTTATTCTTAGAGAAATCATTTCTGTGTTTTAATACTTCCACAGTACTCTTCTACTTCTTCTTTTGGGTTCTTTACATCGCGTCAACTGCAAGGATATTGGCGACGAATGTGTGCTTACTCGTTATAAAAACTGAAAAATTATTAGAATAATTATTTGACAAACTTATATTTTGAGAAGACCGCCTAGAATTAAGTATTTTTTAAGTTCGACCACTGCGCTATCTATACAAAAGCAGCGGAAACTACTCAATAAATTACCGATTTATCGGCTGAACTTCGGTAAGTTAACGAATAGTTTGCGTCGCTTTTATATAGATGGTGTAATAGCCGATGGCTTGGGGTGTTAGGGACCCCGAAGCACCAGTGACGCTTTGCACGCCAACATTATGACATCCGGGGTGTCAGGGACCCCGAAGCTGTAATGTGCGGCCCATAGACTTTCTGTAGAAAAATTGAAACCTCTGTAACTTTTGACTCCGACTACTTACGTTAGCCGCACAAATGTAACGGTTTTGAGCTAGTCTTTAGAGCGAGTAATTTCTTTTCTTAGCTATTTATTTAATTGACTTAAATTTTTCTATCATTTTAAGCTCATCAAAGAAGATATGAGCCGCGTGCAAAGGCGTCTGGAGCCCCCACTCCCGACGCCAGGGGCCCGCTTTTGGTGGTGAAGCCGTCACATTTAGTGTTGAGAGAAGGGCTGTTGTATCAACCTGTAATATGGCAAGGCTGATAATGAGCTCGAGACACTGACTGACAATGAGTAATGGGGTATAGTTTTTGATATCGAAGCAATCTGTTATTACCATCAAAGTACGTTAGACTGTTGAAGTACGAAGTATTGCTGATTTTTATTATCCGGGGTATTTCTCCCCAGAATGGCGCTTTGTAAGGGGTTTTTAGCTCCTCTTTGGCCCAACGAACTTTTTGTCAATTATTTGCATTACTTTTTTTACATTGCATTGCCTAGGTTAAAGCGGATGACGTTCGTTCTCAAGGCATAAAGTTTAAGTTTAAATTTCTTTATTTACTCCAGTACAAAATTCACGACCCCTTGAGAACAAAGGCATATCCAGTCTTCTACTACCTGTAGTCACTGTTCGCGCCATATCGTCGCCTAGAAACCGACAGCACGTTTATTGTTTGGAATTGATTTTGATGTAAAGCTGGTATAACCTGACCAAAATTAAGTTCAATGGAGGAAGAAAATATTCCAAGCAAAGATTCTACTCCTCCGGAAAGTGAAACGGCAGCAGAGAAAGAAGAAGAGAGAGAAGAAGAGAAAGAAGAAGAGAAAACACAGGTGAATGTGGAGGTTCTCGAAGACGGAAATGATGTGACTTCTCAGATTTATCAAATACGTCCACAACTACACGAGAAGTATTTTGATTTAGTTTTATTTTCTTAAGTTATCATTTTTTAAGTGTGTCAACAAAATGGTCTGGATACATACAAACTTGATTAGTGACTATACTTGTCTTTCATTCTTCTATCATTTTTTATATGCTAATTAAATCCATCATTTTAAGACTGATATACTAAATATTTTATTAGTTTAGTTTAATGATGATTCTCTATCATTATGAGCAAAGTATGAAGATTTTTTTTATTATTGTGATATAAAAGTAGCAAATTCTTTCAATGCAGGTTTAAACCTTTAAGCGCTAAAGAAGTTATACATAATGTATTATTTGATCAGCTTTCTGCTAAGATTTATGATGCTGAAGATGCTGTGCAATGGACTAAGGACATAGCAGATATAATTAGAGAAAAAATTAAAGGTGAAGTTTCTTGTAACTGGTTTTTCTCTTGAAACTAGTCAGAGTAAAAAACAATAATGATTTGTGTCCTTTTAGAATTAAGTTTCAAGCGTTACAAATATATTGTAAATGTGGTTTTGGGTGAGCAACATGGTGCTGGGGTAAAAATGGGTACCAGATGTATTTGGGATGCAGAAGCTGATACATATGCGTATGATAGCTTTGCAAATGTAAGAATAATACAATTAATTTTAATTTCTGATTTATTGCATTAACATGAAGCACTTTTGAAATTAATTTATATATTGGTCAGTGTAATTAGATTGTATTTTTGGATTCAGTTAATTGACCATTCTTGTGTATAACAAAAAATTTGAGATAAATTTTGATTTTGGTTGTAAATGTATTCTATTAGATACATATAGAAAAATAACATTTTTGCAGGACACTATATTCTGTGTGGCTACTGTGTATGCTGTATATTTTTATTAGAAATGACAAAGTACAGGGAAATTAAACATGTTCTCATAGAAGGAGCAGGCACTTTATTAACATAAAAGTTATTATTACTCATCAGCACACATTTTATATATTGAGATGGCACAATTTTTACACATATTTAAACATAATATTTTTATCTATGTATTTTATAATACACAAGCTCATTTTTGTAATGAGAGTGTATTATACTTACATAGTTCTTGTATAACATTAACATTATTATAGCACCATAATTCACGGTATCATTTTATAGTTACAAAAATTTTGTTATCATGAGTAAAGGCACCTACTATCATGGCTATGACTTTTACTTACATTTCTTTATGTTAGGATTGACTTAAATTATTAAGAATGTGTTTATAAAATAATTATATTAATAATTGTATACGTGTGTAAATAGATATGTTGTAACAATTGATAATTAAGATGTGTCAATTTTATATGCTTTGTAATGTACTGTAAATATTATATCATTTTAATAAAGTTCTATGAAAATATATGTCATTTTACCATTGATAATTATTCCAAGCCTTATAAAATTGTAATGTAAATTGAAATAGAGTATGATACAGTGTATGAGAAAATGTAAAGATTGTAATAAATATTAAGGGGTTTTTATAATAAAATGAAAGGAAAAATAAATAAGTGTTATAGCTTATACTGCTGTAGTATGATATGATATTAACAAAATCCAGTTGTATGATATATGCAACAGGAGAGATTTAATATTAAATATAAAAGCAAAATAATAAAGAGAAAAACTTAAATAATTTTGTATTACTTTAAAAATTATATAAAACGAAAATAGCAATAATTTAAAACAATATTGAAACATGTTATAAAATAAAATCTACAATATCAGTAATTGTATAATAACATTACATAAGTAAGAGAGCTTATTTATTAAGCTATTTTTGATTATCAAATTGTCAAATTAAAATTATATCAGATCTTAATTGCACGTTTATTCAATGTTATGTACACACAATACTTGACAAACAAAGGACTGAAAATTCTTTGCTCCTGAACTAAAATCATTTACCGAGTCTTATGCCAAAGTTCTATCATTGACTTTTGTTTTACTATGTCTGCTCAGCATTATGGAAGATATACAATGAATTTAGATAGAGATTCATGTAGAGTATAACTAGTCTGTTACCTAATCGATTAACAAGTTAACATTGATTAAAATAAGTTACATAATTACACATGGCAAGGCACAACAAAGGGGTAGGCAAACGGGAACAACAGCGCCACCGCTGCTGGACTTTGATTTGCTTTTACTAGATGCTTCGTATTCATATTTTCCACTAGCCTTTTGCCATGCTCCCTAAAAAGTCAAAAAGAAGAATTATCAATTGCATATAACGTTATTTGTCGACAGTTTCTTGTCCTGTAACGTTATTCGATTCAACGCTTGTCAGTTGCAAAGGATTTGAAGCATTAAAAGTTTATCATTTACTTACGCCTGATTGAGACATGGCTGCGCTAGCTTCTTCTTTCTTGGTGAATTCCGCCGAACCAGGTGGATAATAAACCGGAGGACCAGCGACATTTTTACTTTTTACCTTGGGTGGAGTGTGAGGTATAAAGTCAACTTCTTTTTTAACGGCTGGCGATTCCTTTCGTTGTCCTTTTTCCCTTTTCTCGATGTCGTCTAACACTTCACGCTGAAAAAAGAAGCAATTTTTTATAAAATAATTTTGAATTTATATTTCATTATCATCGGACAATTTATAGTTGTCAGGATAGGAATGTACCTCGGTATCAGAAAACGATGCCATAAGTTCTTCCAGCTTCTTAGGTGGATTTTGTTCCTTGTTGACAGATTTCGGAGGACATACCTGAACGCCACCGGTTGGGAACGGTTTCGGTAACAAAACTTCGTGGTCCTCGGCATTCTTGTTCGGCGGTATCGTCGTGGTCGTGTTCGAAAATTTATATACGGTGGTGGAGGATTGTGGCGGAGTGGTCTGCGGTGATGTAGTGTAATAATTAACCGGTGTTCCCGGTTTATCGGGTGTCGGGTATCGTCCACTGGACGGCGATCGACTGGGATAATGTTCCTCGATCCGATTTATACTGGTGTGAGTCTCGTTTATGATAGGTGGTTGATTCTGATAAATCACTGGACCGCTTGGATGATCTGGTCGATCACCAGGTGGATGTCCGTTGGGATAAGTGCCGTCTATTTGGTAGTATTTTTCGTTTCGTGTCACTCTTGTTTTAGTCTCCAGAGGTGGTGAGGTAGGACGATAACCAGTTATTATTGGCTGGCCTGGTGGACTTCCGTGGTGTTCCTCGCGGAAGAATTTAGCTTCCTGGTGTATGGTGGTAGACTTTTTAGTAATGTCCGTTACTGGCGATGGACTGCTGTACCTAGTTGGTGTTCTAGGTGGTACATTTTCGGTAACGGTCTGATAGGAGACCATTTTATCGGAGGTGGAGGTCGAGCCTTTCGGTATTGTGTACGTGATGGTCTGATCACCTGGCAGCACGACAGTTCCTGGCACATTGCTGCCTGGCAAATACGTCTCTGGCGCCCCTGGTAGCTCGTACGTGTAGGTTTTGATGGTGGTCGTTACCTTCGTGTTCGGACCAGGTGCCAAGTTGATCGGTATCGCTGGTGTTGGCGATGGAACTGGCACATACTCCACATTTCCGTATTCTTGAGCGCTCGCGTGCATTGTGGTCAGTGTATTCTGTACTGGCTCTGTTTGGTAACCTATGACATTTATAAAGCTCATATATTTGACTGTAAAAAATAAGTTTCATTAAAACAATCTGTCTTTATTAATCCCTCAGGTCCCATATTCATACACTCCATCCTTGTGTTTGTGTTTCTGTGCTCCAAATGTGTATCACTTAGGCTTAATACTTGGATAAATAAATTTTCAGAATAATTCTATTATTCTTACCCGAAGATTCGTGAATATACTTCACATCCTTGTGTTGAGTACCTGGTAAGGGTGAAGTTTGTTTCGAGCGAGATGTAGAACCATCGCTATATACCTGAAGTATGAATACATTTATACATATAGTTTTCTGTTCTGATTTAGTTATCTGAAAACAATAAACATACCAATTCTCTATTGACTGTTCTCGTAACCGGCTCTAAACCACTGTGGAGGGTACTCTCTTCGTAGGTCCTTTCTCGAATATCATCGCTGTAAAAATTCATTCAACATTCTTTGCCGTATTATTTAAGATCAAGTGTGTAATTTCCATGATGAATAAAATAATTAAAATGTTAAGAATATAAGGCTGATTTTAGGAGACTGAAGTAAAAAAAAAGAATAACTATCTTTAATGTCATTATGTAAGAAACATATATTTATAACAGGTGCTTCCATTGTTTTCTTCAACCCCTGTAAAACTATTTGAGATTTACAACCCAACTTTCTATTTTGGTAGATGTATATAGATTTCTTGGCGATCATTCAAACGGTTATGATGCTAGACAGGAAACATTTTGTTAAATGAATTATACTCACATCAATGCTGAACTAACATTGGTCAATGCATTGTCTGGGGTTGTCCAGGAATCTGTAATATAAAAGAGTTATACTTTTTTAACGTTGTGTTAATGATTATAGAGATGTTTTTTAAATCAATGCACATTTTCTGAATTTTCACAATTTTGTGAAAATATTGTAAGTTCATATCAGTTCAAAAATTTATATGTTCAGGGAAGATTTAAATTAAAGATTATAAATTGTTTCATATTTTGCAAAAATTTAATCATTTCATTGGAACAACGACCGTCACCCGTTGATCTAACGACAATCATCATCCTTGGCTCTCAATGTTGCTGATATTTTGTTTTCCTCTCCTTTCCATTTTTGGATCCTTTATTTTTCTCTTTCTCAAGTGCAACCAGAGGGACAGAGAAATCGGGTCAACCTTCTGTTACACGCAGCCCTAATATGGATACGCTTGTGTATCGTGTGTTACCACAAAGAACACACACTCTGGTCGCTACGTCACTTCCATATAGAGAGACATCCAGCGCGGAAATCTTCTACGTGTAATGGCGTTGCCGCGTTACCTGCCTTCGTGGTTCAATAGAATCTCAGAGAATTTCAGAAATCGCGACGTTCACGGCATTGCTGTACACTTTGCGTACAGTGAAGAGCAAAATTGAACTAATTATATTGTTTTTTCCGAAAAATTCATATACATATAACAGAAGATAAGAAACTGAATCTGTATATACTTTTGCAACTATTTTAGCTTAAGAGACAGTTGAATTCCCATCTATTATAATAAGGAACCGTGTGACATTGACATAGTTTTGAGTCTATTAATTAAAAAATTTCAAAATCATTTTAATATATCTATTTAAGTTTTAGAAAACAGAAGAGATGAGATATATTAAAATTTAAATTTAGTGATGTGTATAAGTGGATTTCAATAAATATGTCAGTTGGTTCCCTATTGCAGAACGAGGTCTAATTGATGTTATAATTTAGGTCCATTGATGGATTTATTAAAATGCTTTGTTTAGTGGCCTGTAGTTAAAAATATTAATAATACTCTTCTGTGAAAGTTAAAATTATTTCGTTCTGCTTGCGTTGATTTCGATCGATCGAACGTTCGAATCGAATTTCCCAAAGATCTCCCAACAGACAACGAACCTCCCTCGTTTTGTCGTTCTCATTGTTAATTAACCGTATACCTGCAAGGCCGTTCCGCGCCTTAAAAGGAGCGACACGAGTGACCAGCTCCCCTTCCTTCCACGATCGTTTAAAACGCGCCAGCGCTTGCGCGCGATTCCTCGCGAACACGCCTGAGGGTTTATAGCGGCGTATCGGATATGTACTTTTTACCAAAAACTGACTTCCCGTTGGAATTCATTCTCCTCCATCAAGTCCGTTCCGCCGTTCACCTCTTTTTCGTTGCTCCTCTTTTTAAATAGCAACACCTCCCTAACCGGAAGCTTATCAACGTCCACCGTGAACTTGAATTTAATGGTTCTTATATTTATAATATTATAGGTGAAACTTTTTGGTGTTGGAAATGATTAAGTGAATGATAGTCAATCAGCTTTTAATTGATAAGGAATTGTATGTAATTAATCCTGAAAAGATCAAGGAGGGAGAGCTTTTCCTGCAGTGAGAGACCAGTTAGGAAATATTAAAAATCTATTATTTTTCTTATTTAAAAAATTTCTAAACAATTATTTATTTTCCCCTATGTCTTCAAGATTACTGAAGGACTAATTTTGGTTCAGTAAAGATAAGTATTATAAAAAAGAAGAATTTTTATATAGTTAATTATCAGAACAATTATTATTGCAATTCTTTTTTTTTAGATAGCGCAAACAAAATATAAATTTTCTCGTAGGAATGTTAAGAGCACTTACCAATTGGTTTCCCATCGAGATTCTTGTTGTATTGATACGACACTTGTTTATAAGCAATCGTTTTACTTTGACCAGGTTGCACCTGGAACAGAGAAATGTTTCATAAACACGACTGAACATCTATTTATAAAAATTCTTATTTATTACAAGCGCTTCCAAACAATTCGTCTGTATCATTCATAAATTCATCGTGCAAGATTATGTTGCAAGAACAAGATTATAAATAATCAATGAATCTTTTTTCATGAATGAACAACATCGAATGATTCATGAATTATGTTCAGTGAGACTTGTATGTGCATTGAATGCATAATGATGTTACCTATGAAATACACATGTGAATTATTTCTTTTATATTCAATAATAATGCTTTAGTTACATTTCCACAAAAATTACTTATTGTTCACGATAAATTATAAATTCCTTTGCAACTGGACCAAGCTATAGCTTTATAATGGTAAAAAATGTTTTTAAAATCTGTGAAATGCCTCCACTTTCATACGACTAATGAAATTTTCGTCTGTTTTCTATCGTTTTAAAGCTGTAGTTTGACCTAGTTATAAAAAAAAACCCTGTAATACATAACGGAGCTAAATATTCCTCTAAGACTTAAATGATTCACATTCGTACTTACATACATAGGTTCGTGAAACGTACGATCACGATACGTTTAACGCAAAAGACGTGGGTCGTGGCCAGACGACTCTCCTTATAAGATCGTAATTATAACGAACGTGCTACGCAAGACGCGTTGGCGGATCGGTAACAGTGTTTGAATCACGTGGAATTTCAGTATACTCAGGGCCAATGAATATTTCATCGAGACGATGTTACAGGCAATCGTGTGCCACCTTTCAAATCTTTGAAGCTTATTAGTACAACAATCGAGTTTCAAAATATTTTGTCATTAGTCTCGTCATCTTAATTCGTCTAACTAATTGTGAGCCTTTCAATGATGATGACGTGAAACGGTAATTTTCTAGTTGTAACTTTTTGGTAAAACATATGTATCAATCAATCAAAATTATTTTTTATTAAATAAATATAGTTGATCGTCACATAATTATACGTTTCACATTGTCTCTATTTTGCCTTGATCTTACAATAGAATAAAACCGAGATGAGTATTCTATCGGTCGTTAAATTCTCATAAGTGAAAACGAGTTCCATAAATGACCGTCTGGAACTGTCAGACAATTATTCAGAATTGCATCTTAATTGCAGCATCATTAGGGCGAACACAAAACGTTGCTCGCGTAACAACACCCATGTACCGTGCAGACTTTTATAAAATACAATTCTATAGAATGTAAACGCTTATAAATTTTCAATTTCAAAAAATAATCTATCATAATTGTTTAAAAGAAAAAACGATACACGAGTATAATACCAAAGTTAATTTTAGTCTTTCGTAACTCAGCTTCTCGGACTGTTGGTGAAACCGGAATTCTAGGCGAATAACTTCTCATAGATTTTGCTTTTCATACTCGAAGCTGTTATTTCGTATGCAAATCAGAACGGACGGTGTCCTATCGTACCTGAAGGGCTGAAAGTTTATCTGGCTAACGTTAGACGCACACGGCAAATTGCGCGTGTAACCAATCTACATTTTCATTAAACGTTAGATTATAGTCTGCACGGCTGAAGAAACGCTGCAATTACGCGTAACAGCCATTCTGCGTCTTTGCATGATCTTCTAATGCCTGATATATATGCTACGATGTCAGATTTATGATAGTGTATTCCTGTTACTGGCCTGCTGTGAATGGAATTTCGATGCTCGCTTAGAGATTATAATTCTTGATGTTATCATTTTTGTTGTTTATAAATATGTGGAATATATTGTAGGTTTTTATTTTATGCAAATTACTTTGAACGATGTGATACAGGTTTAACCCTTGCACGGTGGGTCATTAAGATAAGGACAATTTAAATTTAATTTTTGGTTTTTATATTTTAAACTATTTCTTTAGACATTAATTTTCTAATATTTAAGAGTCTGTAAATTAGTATTTGATAGAATAGATTAATCATTTTCAAATTGTAATTAGACGAAGATTAATGGCGTAAGAAATTAAGTATCAAAATCACAAATACGTGACAGCAGACGTCAAAGTGTTAATAATCTGATCATTTCCTTTCTCAATTTGATTGCCTGATTTTCAGTTAGCTGCCACAGCGCAAATCAACGCTTATAATAAAGCAGATTAAAATACCAGTATAATTACCAATGATTAATAGGAGCTCATATTTTCATAGCTCTCAATTAAAAGAATGATGTCATTGTTTGCTATGATCTTTTTAATGTACCAACAGCCCACAATAAGGACGTATGTAAATGTAGGTACACGCAGAAGATGTTGCTTTACCTCAAGGCAAATACCAAGCGATGTAATCTTCCTGATATACGTACACATAATTGGAAGTGTCATGTCTGAATAAAAGAACACGAAAAAGGACGATCGGAAATTATAGTAGCTAGACGTTCTTTGATATAATTTGTCCATAATAAATAATACAAATAATTTAAATAACGCAAATTGCTGTATCTTAATTTATAAATAGATAATGGAGATAAAGGTTGATGAACCACTTATCGCGGATCGTCTTGAAGTTCTAATTATTAAAAATAGGAATAGTTCATTTTCAAATTTCGAATTCCAAGCTTTCTATTTGCTATTTTCCATTATTTGTACGATGGTAATATTATTTAAAATAATTTGCGGTACCAGTCACCGGTGACCCCCGTGGTATATAACGTGTTAAATATAAAATAGATGATCATATTTTTCGAAAAATAAATAATTAATTCCAAAGAAAGAAGAGATTTATAATATATGCCTTAAAGACTGGAATTATTACTTATTTCAATTCAAATTAATATTCCATGCATACATTGTGTCAAGCTTAGGAGTGCTTTGTCTTCAAAGGGTTAAAAATTTATGCATGCAATTAATAAGATGAAAAGAGAACTCACGTTTTGCAATTCTGAATCGATGAATTCCAAACCAGGTATACCACTCGATGCACCACTTGGTCCAGTGCTTACATATTTCTCTGTGGCGGTTGTCATCGTTCGATTTGGCGAGATCGGTCTAAAGTTATAATTTTATATTTTTATTATTTATCTGTTAAAATGTTTGGGGCGGTCATCCGTGTTCACAGAGTTTACCCACCTGCCTTCAGAAACCACTTTGGTAGGGTTCGCAGCCACGCGATATTCAACTTGGGGCGAAAGTGTTCTGACACCTCGACTTGGGGTGGTACTTCTTGAGACACTCGTTTGCAAGTCCTCGAGAAGAGCATCTGAAATCATTCAAAACGTATCCTTGGGTACCTGAAACCATTTTCAACCCTTTCGAGACCGAGAACTCTTGGTACGACTGGATTCTATTGATCGTGAGTAGATTGGGCATTATGATCAGACAGTCTAGTCTTTTCGGTTCAAGTGTAAGCTAGCAATTTTAATCTTAACGTAATAGAATCAATCAAGAACTATTCGCTTCTCTTGTCTCAATCAATCACAATCAAACGGAATATATCCTCAGACAAATACATATGCATGAAAGTATATCGATAATGCAAAATAATATTGAGTTTTCAAATGCGAATTTGTGAATGATACAGCTTGTCATCAATGGGAGATTGCCATATTAAGAACTGACAAATTATATCATGATTATATTATAAATTGACAAATTGCTCCTGATAAATGGTGATCGAATATATTTTTGCATTCAAATATAAATTGGATAAAATGATGCAAGTAATGAGATAACATTTTGGAATTTTTGATAAAAAAGAAAAGAAGATATAATTATTTTTCCTTTTTAATTACTAATTTTAATAAGATTTAAAAAAGAGCAAGAGTAAAATTCAAGCAATACTTAATATAATAAATTCTACAAAAATCAATTTAACAAAAAAATATTCTAAGAAATTGATTATAATACGACTGAAAAAATATAGCAGACAAGTTTAATATAGTTTAGAGGAATTTTCTATTTAGAGCATGGACTTATTTATCTGTCTCATTCAATTCTGTATAAACATTTAATTAGTGCCAATCGTTGTTTAGTATTTCATTTAGAGTGAACTTTGTAATATTTTTAATTATTTCTAAGAAAATATATGGTAGATTTTTAAGAACTCTGACATCACTTGATAATTAATATCTTAATAAGTCGATAACTATGTTATCTAGAATATTTTTTATGCCATGAATTAATCTTCTTACTCTTACGAAAGGTCATAGTATAATAGGATTTTAATATAATACACAGAGATGATGTCATTTGTTGTCCTACATTAAATATAATTCATTCGTCATTCATATTGACGGGGATGCTTATGCAATGCTCTACCTCAATATCAGCCATTTAATGACTGCTGATCATATTTTTTTTACAGTAATTATAATGAATAGAACTTGAAACGGTAAACATTTTATTTTACCATTTTACTGCCTGTTACAATTTTGATTGCCATATCAAGAGTTAAATAATTTATATTGAAAGCTGTTATTTTAGATATTTAAAATATTACAGAACGTTACTATGTATTTTCTTTTAATCATTTTGGAATATTCCAAGATATAGAACTCCAAATGATTAAGCAATCTTGGTCCATTTACGCGTTCGGTGTTTTATAATCCAATTTTACCAAAAGTATCATAAGAAGTAGCAAACTGGTACAATGTTCTCAACGTTTCCATGAAGAAGTTGTGCACATCTTTATTATTTGCAACTTGGAAAGGAAGCGTTTATCGAATATGTACATTCTGAAATTTTGGTCACTTATTAATTTTGAAACACCTTGTACGTAGAAGATCTGTCGAGAAAGAATGATCCAAGGATAGGGTTACACCGCTGGTGGCACATTTAAAGGTTTACCTAAGTTGTTTTCGAGGCTGTTGGCCGTGGTCGCTGGCTGGGTCTGGCCAGATATAGGACCGCCATGACTCACGATCTTTCTGCTGGTGTGCGTCGTCGTTCTCTCCCTCACCGCAGCTGACATTGCGCTCTTTTTGAAGTTCCCTGCCTCACGAGACCTAATGGACAATTGAAAAATGATTTAATTAAATTGTTAACTCGATCTTCAGTACATTAAATACTGTTGTGAAAACGGCTGTACAATAGCTAGAATTGTAACTATTCAAATTAAGATAAGTTCATTCTGTAATTTAACCCTTTGCATCCTGAATTATGTTACCATTATTGTTTTCATTACATTTTCTATTTTAGATACTTGGAAATTATTAAAATAAAATATATTTACAATTTTTCGGATACAAATGCACATACAGAGTAGCAATAGTTTAAAAAAATATGAAAGTCAAATAATTAATTTGTTATCTATATTCTGGAAGATAGTTTTTATTTTGATTTCTACAAAATTAGATTTCCTTTGCTTTAATATATTAATTGCTATAAAAATAATAAATAATGTTGCGAAATATTTAAAAGGATATACATCAGAAGGAGCTAAACTAATAACTGAGGGAATTCTCCGCAAATTTGGGTGATAATCAAATCAGTACTACACTTTGTGTTAATACTAAAAATATACTGTGAATGAATGCTAAATATTTACAGAAGTATCGTTACGAATGTACTATTTCTGAGTGCGATTACGCGAGAGTACGATCACTGGTAAGATTAGGATTTCCAAAGTAAAATCGTTGCGTCAATTAAATACTACGTGACGCGACACGAAAATAAGTACAGCCTCGATAAATCTTATTTAGGAACAAAGCCACTTCTTATGTAAGTTTTATCTGTCGCATTAGTAATCAATTACTTAATCTCTGTAAATTAAACCATTTCTTTTTAAATCCTCAACTACCCTTTAAATTTTTCTTTATGGTAAACAATTGGATCATCTCTAAATGCTTATGAATTTATAATACAAAATATAATAATTTTAATATTTTTTGCCAAAAATTTTTAATGAAATTGCATTTCTACTATAACTACAAATACAGGATCATTTGGGGTCAATGTAATTTTCAACCCTTCTATCGCGTTAATCACAAAGCATGTATCTTTCAAGGGTTGAATTATACTTCAATATATAATTTTTAATTTACTTTACAGTCTTGTACCTTGGTAATTGAATTACAGTTAATAAATATATTTGAAAAGGACTTAAATCAGGTCTGAAACGTTAACTATACATAATTGAAGCTAACGAGTGATACGCCTGTACCAACCCCGTTCCTTATTTTGAATTTTATATTTTCCCGTTAACATTCATAAATTGTATACTAAGATGAATTCTGAATATTGAATGTAATATAGTGGATTTCTATTTATAGAAGTGTAACGTTTATAAATATGACAGATTCGAAGAGATCGAGAACTGGATCTAAAGGTGTGGTGCAGAAACTTTCGCGGTGAACACCTGAAGCCGGTTTACAGGCGACACTGAAGCATAAGTTGTGGGCTAGAACGGTGGCATTTCGAACTAACTGGCTGTATGTAACGTTTGACGTTAGAAACTTACAAACGAGGATTTATTTCTCCTTTAACCAGTCCAGGAACGAATTTATTAAGTCCAAGAAATAAAATTATGTATATTATGTTTCTTTATATTCAACCCTTTTGATCTGTCGCTTCTAACAATCAACAGAAATGTTGTTCATGGGAATAAAAGTCAATAGTTTGAATAATTCATAGAATAATCGTTTGCTTATTCGGCTGGATAAATCTGTAACGATGCGAAACTACTTTCTACTGAAATAAGATAATTTTATTGTTTAAACAACCGGCTTAATAACGCGCAAGGATATTTCGAGCGAGGTTAGAGAATCTGGAGAGCATTTCCTTGGTAAATGCCAAACGATCGGTTGTTTTATTCCGGCGGAGACATCAATGCGAATGGGGCAAAGGGGCCAAGGAGGCCTTCCGAGAATCGTTTGTGGAAGAGACACACATATGATCGCCACTGAAACCTTGAAACGTATACCCGGATGGTTTCTAGAATTTGTATTCCCCTAACAAGTCTGTCACATAAAGATTTTCCTCTTTTTATTTAGTTCGTGACTGAATTTTCAGATTTTTCAATTCTTCGGTTATTCGAGATTTTTGTTATTTTTCTTTAACGATTGATTAACATTGAGCGATACGGGGGCCATTGGTGAACGGGACCATAAATTTGATACAAATAATTCAATAACTCGAAGAAATTAAAGGAAACAAAATTATAATTTTGTAAGGTAGTGAGTTGAACATTTAAATTAGAAAATAAAATTACCATTATTGCTTAGACGTGCCAATAATTTTGATTATTTTACTGAAAAATTATATTTTCCCAATTTACATATTTTCAATTTACAAATACATATTTACAAATTATACATATGTTTCAACGTTTAAATGGTTTAAGGCACTCGGGTATGCTAATTTAAAACACATGCAATTATACGATGGAGGATGCGAATCGTTTTATACTCAAACGATTTCGTCAGCAGTGATTACTGTTCCTTTTAAGAAGCTTAAGTATGAATAACGATAAAATCAAATTTAAATAATATTAATGCAAATGTTGGTTTCTTATTAAGTATCAGTTTATTAAAATTTAATTATTTCATGAACATGACTCATATTATTGTATTTAGTCATTGTATGATACGAGTGTGATTCGGCATTATAAGGCATGTTAAAGCAATAGACCTTTCGTGTCAGATCGTTAATGAAGTGTCACGGTGGTAGTGACATTGTGCATCGTTGTTCAAGGCCTTTGTACCAATCAAAACGATGATGACTGCGGTTGATTTGATTTTAAGATCAGCAATAACCGTCCAAGTGCGTAGTCTGCTCTATTGTTGGTGCCATTTTATTTTTATATTCGAATAAAAATGATTGAAATTTTTGCGAGATAAATAATCCAAAATGATCATAAATGTTACTTTTTATGTTTTCTCTATTTTCACTTTTGACAGCTTAAGTTATTTTTGCAGAAAATTGCACTGTTGATATGCAACAAGGTAATGTAACATAAACAAATTAGTACTAATATGTTTTAAACGAAGCAGAAAATTTCCAATGGTAATTGTTTTAACCTGCGAGAATCAGGATTCAAGGGAATCGGAAAGGAAACAGACCAACTGGTGTAAATTTAAAGCGACATTTGACATCGCGTGGGTGGCAATAGTCACCAGCCAACTGGCGCCCACAGTTTCATTCCATTTTTCTCTTTTCTCTTTTCTCTCTGATCTACCGTTCTTTGTTTAACTCGTACAAATATAACCCAGATCAACTTTTACGAAAGCGAACCGTGAAAACAGTCGAACTGACAAATCACGTGAATCTTTTATGCGTTTGCTGCTAACAATAGAAAGTCATCCTTTTATACCAATTTCATTAAAAAAGTTTATTTTATTTTATTATAGAAGGAATTACGAAATCAAAGCATTTGTTGTTTTGGTTTATGTTTTCACCGTTGCAACGGTAAGCTGTTTTGTAACGGAGATATTTTTTAATTGCAGTCATATCTTCGCTTGTATCGTTAACACATGAATATTGTATTGTATTTTCAATGCAACACGCGGGAATACAAATCGAGTCGAACCAAACCTTTCAACATACATCAGCGTTCAAAAGTATAAAATTAAAGTACTGCAGTTGTATATTTAACAAGTACGATTTTACCAAAAGATGTCATTTCTATAACATAATTGAACGTATATTTAAAGAATTTATTTCTTTCCTTTAATATTCGAAGGGGGCAATTTTCAATTTAACCCTTTCAGTCCTTAGAAGAAAAATTCTTCTGGCACAAAATATTGTTTATAACTACCATAAGAATTCTACTGCAAAATTTAAACGAGTTTCCATCATAGATATAGAAACCAGAGCGTCACGGCAATTGCCACAACCAGGACTATTACAGGTACATCAGATCTTTAAAGAAGGTGGCAATTGTCACCAACAGGGCCTAAAGGATTAAGGCAATAGGCCTGAGAGAGACAGGAACTTATTCTAAAAAAACTGTACTTTCATTCTTACATCTACAATACACGATAAGTGTTCTTAACATTTTTAAATAAGAACCACTGTGAAATTTATAAATTTCACAAGAAACCATACAGTATTCATTTTCGAATCGCAGCCTGATAGAGGGAGGTTAAATAAACTATAGAGCGGTATGTTTTTGGCGTAACGCCTATTTTTGGGGCCTACTTTCGTTACTTGCCGTCCTCTTTTCCGCGATCACTAAAAGATTACGCATTATTTCTACACCATTCTCTGTATTTTACACTCAATGTATATAGTGACGTAATTCTTATATTGTCATTCATACTGAATGATATAAGCATCGACGATATATCGTGGCAATTTGTTGATTATAAACAGAAATTTTGCCGAAGGTCGTTCGGCAAAGAGAAAATTACTGCATTTTCAATGACAATGATCAACGAAGCATAAAGAACATCTGATGAAACGACAGGATTTTAGAATTACACTTTTTCTTGGATGCAATAGTCACTGAAGCTGTACTGCTTCATTCTGACAGTGAATGGTCTCTGGAACACACCTAACAAGGATGAAACATCCACGAAGACGTAAAGTGGGATTTGACCTTCCGCCCATCCACCAACCATCATCATCTGCTTACCGGATTACGCGTAGCGATCGGCATTCCATTTTCTTTCTTGTAACATTTCAAGTATTTTAATCGCTTCAATAACCATTCGAAATTAACAATTTTTTAAATTCTTTACAACATTGAGATATTTAGTTTGGTAACTCTAGGTGTTGAAATTCTTGCTAATTACAACATATAGTTAATGACCAATATAAAAATAGCAGTTATGGCATATTAATTTGAAGCTTAAAGTTTCTTGGAAATGACTGTACAAATATTTCATCAATATTCATGACCTAATTTTTAATTATTTACATCCCAAGACAGAAATAAATTCTTCAATCTGTTATATTATGGAAAATCAATGGTTTCGAGTTATACGACTTGTTAAATTCGGAATACCCTTGATACACTGACAGGTCGGATGAAATGATATTGCTAAATAACTAAAATCATTAAATGATATGACTCTTAGCACTTTTATCTGTAAACCTTGTTACTCAACCAACAACCAATATGATGAAAGTGCAAACACTCTTGAAATTTCGATTTTTGGCGTTATTATATCCAGTAATAGTAATAGTACCAAATACTATATTACTACAATTATATCACTTTTTTACTATAACTTTTTGACTTCAACTATTACTGCCTCGGCGGTTTAAAACCGGAACAAAAAACTATCTGAAAGGTGGGATGGTTTCACGATGTGTTTTAAAGGTGGAAAAAGGAAAGATTCGAATGAAAACACGCAGGGTGAGTCACAGTTGCAAAATAAGCGCGACTCGTCTTTCACGGTGTTCAAAATCTGTCGCGTTCGCTTTTGTACCCTCAGCCATTTTTAAATAATGAATATTGAATTCTTGTCAATGTTTTTCTATAGTTCGACGTTTCCGTAAAGGTAATACGAAACGAATTATTAATCCGTGATGTTTCTCTGAAGTCAAACTAACCAATTTCACTTTCTATGTATTTTTCAATTTATATTATATAATAATAAAATAATTTATCTCCAAATTTTTTTAATTTCATTTTTTTAATTTGATACTCTGGCACTACTAGAACCAACACATGCATCAGGTGATGCTTCATTCAACACCATCTACTTTTGTCTAATGAAATTTTTTTTTATCTTCTATCATTTTAGGAATATAATATATGTTTCTAGCATTTATTACAAATATTATGAAAATTTATGACTCGCATGTTTTTGTTAACTCTTTTTTTTATGTATGACTTACGGAGTAAGGATCGAAAGGGTTAAACTAAATTTCTAGAAACAATTTTGATGCATTTTATTTTGTGGAGTTGATTGGTTTAGCTTCTGAGAGACTATATAACGAAGACCACTGTTCAAGCAACCTCTTAGACGCGACGAGAGTTTTTCAATGCAACAAGATTAATTGCTGCATGGTGCCGCTACAGCGTATGTAGTAATTCTTCGAAAATGTGGACTTAACTAGCTGAAATCATACCGTATATCCGCTAAAGAAGATAATTTTAATTTATGAGAATGAAAAAGTTTAATAAGATTATTAATTAAGTAATCTTTCTTTCACTGTAATAATTTATTTGAGATGTACTGATGATCGATTCAATATTGCCTCACTAATAATACAATAGCACTTTAGACTATACATTTTTTTTTATTTTAATTTATTGTAGAATGCATTTAAATATCTCACCAAGAGAAATTATACATTTAAGCAAACTAATGTAAATGTTACTTTGCATTTAACACTAAATCTACAAATGTCCGATGAACACTTACTTTTAAATGAAAAATAACTAGACTAAAGCAGATCTTTTTGACAAATTGTATTTATGCAATGCTCCCTGTTTAATTCCTTCAGCTTTGTGTTATTTATACACATTTGTACATACGGCTTTTGTTTATGTTAAGAACATACGAAAATATTTATCGAATGCATGTACGAATGTAGGTTACTATTATGGTATTTTTTGAATGCTTACGAAACTGGAATGTGGAATTTATTACTTAATGCCGGGGTAGGACGTGGAAACGATGCTCTAGTACAACTTTTTAAAAGTTGTTTATCATCCCCCATAATTAAAATATAAATATAGTTCTAGCCAAGAAGTGCAAATCTAGAAGATGCAGTATGTAAAAACACCTATACTTATAAAGAAAACATAGCGTTGTTTAGTTTCTTGAACTATTAGTGAAGCAAGTCACAAAATACCATTCACAATCCATTAGCAGTAGTTTATAATAGCCTGGTTGTTTTATTCCAAGGATTTCAATTTATAGTCACGATTTATTACCTCTTAAAGAATTTTTTACGATATTAATTATGCGGCGTTACCTCGAGTTTTAATGGCTGTTGCTAGCGCCAGCGGCAAAGTATAAAATATTCTAGTGCGGAACGTGTTGAATGCACTTTTGATTGTATGCAAACGATTTGGCCATAAGACTATACTCATTTTGCACGTAACAAAAGTACAAATGTCTTCGTTTACCTTTAATTAATGCATATAGATACATACATCCCAATTGGAGATCAGTTTATATTTTGTATTAATTATACTCCTATATGCGATTGAACGGTCACTTTTAAAAATACGTAACCTTGAGTTATAGTATCAAATGAATTTTGACTTCATCTCAAACTGTATGTGTATTCTGATCTAATCCTAAACACGAAATAGTTTCAAAACTTACCTCGCGAGAAAGGGTAATCCAATATTGGTGATGACGCACCGCTAGATCACCGTGTTTATTCTTTTTTCGTTTTTCGTTTCGTCGACAATTTTTCGCGCGTCGAACGGATGAACCGTTGAACGAGCAAATCGAAAAGACGGCGCACGCGATACCGCAGAGTGCCCGTCCAATACTGGCTCGATCCACTGAGCGTTTCGCTCGCGAGTGCGCATCATCACGCAGGACCAGTTAGAGCGCATGCGCAGGACTAGCGAGGACGCATGCGCAGGACTACCCCAAGTGCATTCTTGAAATCAGGTGCTTGATCCGTTGCTCATGTCAGTTCGACGCAACGTAACTGTCAAAAATTCATCTCCTTGGTCACTTTTATTGCATAAATAGAGAGTAAATTTTTGCAAAAAGGAATTGAAATGTTCTTTTTTAATCTCGGGATCTGTGAAAACACGTTGATGTAATGGAAAAAATGATATCTAATGAAATATTCTATTAGCGTGACTGTTGGATTATCCAAAGTTTGCCAAATTTATATTTCCTTTTTCGTATTATTCTACAGATTTATTTACAAAAATGTTTAGATGGAATCAAGAACCACCCAGTATAAGAGTAACTCCATTTGAATATGATTCTGGAGTTCTTTATCGGATGTTTTTCACCCAGGAAATAGTCCGTAACATTTATTGGAAATGACGTAGAGTACATTAGAGGTGCCAGCATCCAGCAGGTTTGCGAGTGTACGTTTGAAGAACGAGCAAGAAAAGCGCGCGAGCGCAGTTTATCCGGTCAGTGCGTTCGCAGAAGTCGCTTTACTCCTACGTATATACAGGGACGGATAAATTCTAATGCTTCTGTGAAATATTTTCTCCACGTTGTTATTAAACAAAACAAATTTTATTGATTATAAATATAGGAGATCGGACAAAAATAAAATGCATATAAATATTTACGAATGTCTAAACTAGATTTGAGTTAGGTTTTAGCACAACTTTTATTCATCACAACACGGAGATATTAATACAATTATTTTCTATTATTTCAAAAGATTTTTATAATCCTTGCTCATCTTTTCTTAGTATAATGCCGTTCTGGACGGAGTATGTTCAGGCCTGTGCCATATTTCTTTTTTCTCGCCCACGTTACGGCAGTCCTACCTCTAGAATCGTTATTTATGGTAATAATGAAACTGGAATAATCGAATTCTCAGTGGGTAGTGTAATATAATGGACGAGATTTAATAAAACCTTCTACGAGTTAAATTAGAATAGCGCTTTGCTGAAGAGATGTGGTAGCAAAAAATATTGAAACTTTTTAACATACTGTGAAATATATAAATAAGAGTGTTTTGATATCCTTTACGAGGTATTCGATTGAATATGAAAATAAAATTACATGCATATAAGCATTCACTGATGAAACAAAACTAACCTGCCGATGATGTCATCCTTACAATTCTTGCTAACGTGTTAAAACAGAATCTACATGATTCCTAATAAATACATGATCATTCTTTAATGCATATATTAACATTTAGTCAATGCTACCGTTAATCGGAAATTTATTTTGCATTACTGAATATTCTGAAGTGTAGTAATTACCCTATTATAGGGGAAAAAAAGAAATGGGTACGTCAATGATAAAAAAGATCCAGAAGAAATTATTTTTTACGTTCGCAATTTAAAAAAAAAAATATATTCTTGTTGTACTCTGTTAATGTTTTTCTTTCATATTTTTTAATTTCCTCAACTAAATAAAAAGAAAAATAGTGCAATCAAAATTCATTGTTCCCATATACATTACAATAATGTGTACCAAGATGTTGTTAAAAAAGATTTCTACATGTACTTCAAACAGTAAGAGCTTATTTTATCGACAGGTTCAATTGTAAATTAATTATGCCACAGACAAGGTATCTGGGTCTCTAGAGTCCCTTTACTATTTTCACTTTTTTTTTTTTTTATTAACCAGAGTGATCCATGGATCATTTAGACCGATGTAGTTCTTAAAATCGTCGTTCTAAATCATAGAGTGCGCAACAGAACATCTGACAAGAATCACTTTTTCAGGTATTTTGGTATTCCAGATCATGCTACACTTTCTATCAAACATTATTCTTTGTATTTGAATGGAAACATGATATACAGATATTTTCTAATAAATTATAATTAATTTAGACTAACAGCTTTTGATTTCCTTCTGATGAAACATGTCTTTTAAGTTTCATTCCTGAGCATAAGCTCTATGTGTTCCCGGAAGAACCAGGAACAGAGAACATGCATAGATTTCAAAAGTAATAGCCTTTCGTTTCAAGATTAGCAATAAGTAGTAAAGAGAAAACACCCGCAGAAGGTTGTACCCACTAGGGACCACGATACCATGGATGTGGATTCTGTTGATACAAGTGCAAAACATGTTTCGAGTACTCGTATGCGTACGGTATTAATCAGCAGCTCTCACTTAGTAAGAGGAACTGGATGGCAAAAGTACGTAGTAATGTGCGAAGGAAAAGAACAAAAAGGTGTGGTTGTCACTATGCTTTATAAACACGCGCACTGTTTCCGTTTTGCGTGTTGTGCGCCTGCGCTGAAGTCACGTCAGAACATGGCCGACGAAGTTAAGAACATTGAGCTCTAGTCCATCTAAAGTGTAAATTACGGTAGGTAGAAGTATTTAGAGGTAATGTATGGCCAACAGAGAGAGATGTTAAGTAGTGTATCTCTCCTTTTTTAGATGCATTACTGAATATACTGCAGTAAATGTGTATGTGTATATACTACAAAATGAAAGTTATGATGAATAATTCACATCGGTTATTAATTAAATGAATATTTATATCAAATTATAAAGCATAAATAGAGAAGGTACAATCAAGTACAATAAATCAAATTTAAAACACAATAAATCTTCGTCAGTTGTTATATACAGTAGTTACTCGATAATTTCTCCTTTCTTAGAAAGGCCTACCTCTAGAGCACGAAAAGTGCGGAATTATCGAGTGACTACTATATCACTATTAAGCCTCTAACGATCATTCCATGACATACAGGCATGCTGAAAGTCTTGATAATCATGGTTTAGTGGGTTTACTATATAAATCCAGCGTTAGGCATTGGGGCAGGGACATGATCTTTAAGAATTTAGATAAACGTATTCGGGATGCGGTACTATTGTCGTAAGCCAATCACCAATCGCAACTTTTTGCAGCGGGCTAAAAATTAAAATTCAATGATTTGTATGAACATCAAGCGCAAAAATAGTTATTTAAGACTTTCAAAATTGTTAATATTCTACTTCCTAAAGTTTAATACATGTAATTATGATGTTTTAACACGCTTTTATATTATGTGTGTCATATATTTTAGATGTTCAGATATTTCTCAGGAATTTTCTACCGTAAAGTAAGTAGAATATCTATGTGACATAAATGAGGGGCATTGTTTTCTGGGTATCGCCGTATTAATAGAGATTCCGTAATGGTAATTCAGCAAGAGTTTATTATTAGATTTTGGTGAACAGTTTACAGCATAATCATTAATATTAGAATTTAATCGTATGCGATTCCACTGTCTGTGCTCCAATTAATTTATAAATGTAATTTATTTTTAATTTTTAATAAGATCTACTAGTGCTAATGTGATAATTACATTAAACAATTTCATACTTTCTTTTAATTAATTAATAAAACTGTAAAAATTTCTCTTTCCAATTGTACAGCATTGTTCTAAATTCAAGTACAGTTAATTACGATATAGCGTAACGAGGATAATAATGTTAATGAGGTTTCGACGAAACAGGTCTGGTTTATTAAACCCGTGTACTTTTATTCCTATTTTTCACTACTAAAATTATGTGTTACTAGTTGTTTACTTCGTTTACTAAATTAAAAGAAAAGAAGTTACTCGATTTATTTTACGAACAAATACTACCATACCGCCCTCTTTAGGTGTGCTCTTTCACTTCTTACGTTCTCGGCATTTTCATCGAATTTATCGATCCATCTTGTCGCTTTCAACAGAAAAACATAATTAAAAATAGAGATTTGATCCTTTCGTATTATTTTATGATTTTATAAGTGTCAGATAGACTTGATCTCTGATTGGAATTACAAGAAATCATAGGAACATTGCTTATTCAAGTAAGTTAATTAATCTAACTCCTTTGCGCTATCCATTTTTAAATGCTCCAAAATCCTACATAATTTCTATACTAACAGATCGAATTAGCTCTTCCAACAATTGTAACTGATCTATGATCCCCAATATAAACATGTACTACATTGTCGATTCGCAATCTCCGTGAGAGAAATTTTGCTTGACCATCAAACGAGTCAACAAACTCGGACATCGTCGAGAATTTTTCAGCAAGCTACGTTACTGGCTACTGGTCTATACACGCGCAACTCGAATGGGTCTATCGGTGCGGTTTGGTTAGAGCTCTAACCAGTACTGTTCACAGTAGGGGCCCCTTATTTAATCTCCCACCATTTCCTTTGGCTTTATAACACAGACGAATCAACGCGCGCACAATTTCGACTTGCAGCCTATCTGTGAGAAAGCACACGTGAAGGGGCCCTTCGACTGCGCTAGACAGCACTGCGACCAGAGTCTAGCATTGAGGGAGAAAACAACAGAGCAGGAAAAGTGGTGGGGGTACTCGGAGCTAGGTTCAGTGTAGGGGATGGGTAAGGCGGTGAAGTAGGAGGTGGTGGCGGCTGCGCCGGGTATCCGACCGGGACAGGCAGTGGTGTCGGAAGATGGAGAGAGAGTTGGAGAGAAAGAGAAAGAAACGAATGGAATGGAAAGGCAGTCAGGTTAGCCGAGGAACGGTGGGGGAGGCCAGGGACGAGGCAAGGCAAGCGATTTAGCTGCTGCTGGTTTGGCGAGACACGAGTTGGAGTGCCGAGAGAGCAGCCGAGGTCCCGTTGCGCCGGGATAGGCGTCATGAAAGCGCGCCAGTTGACCGAGTGCACCTCTCGTCGCACGAAACCGCGTATTTGCTGCCGTTGATCTTACGTTGACCTCCTCGTTTTCTGCTTTCGTGGCAAGGACTTGACCCGCGCCTATACTGCTCCTGGCTGTCACTTCTTCCTTGCTGCTCCAGCGCTGGATCTTTGCCGTTACGTTCCGTTTGGAGAAAGGATCCGTGTATAATACCATTTCGTTGTTCCTAAAGACAGTGTACTCATTTCCAGTGATGTGCCCGAAGTGTTGTTCTTCAGTATGTGATCACGGATGTGCTAGTACCCCTGACACGACGCTCCAGTGGTGAAATAGGACAACAGGAGTGGGTGTGTGTGCATGTGCATGTATGGAAGAGGACTGTTAGCTGACAAACGTGTATGTGGATATTGTTCAACAGTTTGCTCGTTCCACGTACGATCTTCTGCCACCTTGTTATTGACATATTGATTTCGTCGGTATGCCCTTTCTCGTGGCGAAGCAGCCTGGACAGTGAGCGAAAGAATGAGAACTCGTTTCTGTCAGTAGGCACGACCGCATCGAACGAAAGTATAAAACGTGCTTTGCTTTCGCGTTGATAGCTTCGTGCGGCTGCCGTTTCACCTTGACGTTGGAGCATCGAACGTTGCGGCACGTTTCGGCAGATATTCCGAGAATAATGCAGAATCGAAAGTGACAATCGTTGGTATATCCCGAAGTTTTGCAACGCTTCGTTCGTAGCTTGATTATAAATGCAAAAGAACGAAGACAATGGATGAAAAGAAATCACGCTAGACTGTATGGATAGACGATTCGAATTCATTCGGTGTCCTGTAATGCTATTTACATAATTTAGCAATATTAACGCAGGTCGTTTTAGACACCGCATCAGAATCAGACGCACAAACAAAAGAATCATCCTCCTCTAATAGTTAATATTTTCGTATTATCGTTTTCTTTTTTTTTACGAACTTCGTACATTCCAGTCATTTCGTCAAACGCAAACCACCCAAGGTACAAAATAATTAAGGAACAAGCTAAACTTCCGCTAATCTATTGATAAGCAAATTGACAGTCTTAGGAGGATCTTATTGTCTAATAACCGTGACATCTTCGATTTCGGCTCGCTCGGTTCGTTAGCTCGTCTGGAGGGTAGCATCCCTCCGGGTCGTTATCCCATTCCGTGAGCTGACAAGGAGGGGTACACGCACTGGGAGGTAGAATCCTACCAACCAGCAGCTATTCCACGCCGAGAGTTTTAGATTGCACTCGAAGAGAAGAAATGGCCCCCTGCAATGTCTCCAACGACCATGTCCATCGTCGATGAACACAGTTATTAGTCCGTCTAATACCTCGGTTAAGCATGTCGTCCGTGTGGTCGTCGTTCGTCGACTTTCTAGCTTGACATTCCACGTGGAAAACGTCGTACAAGTTGCATACATTTAACAGTCATGACGAAAGGAGGAACTAAAAGGTTAATGAACGATAGAACAAGAAAAAAGACAGTCGGCTAAGTCGCAGCAGCAGCAGCAGCAGCAACAGGGGACGTCCCAAAGGCTGAGTCGAACAAAGTGTTTAGCGAAGTAATTAATCAGGAAGAACGTGTTCAGAGACAGCACTGAACTGTCGTTTGCAACATTCCTACCAGTATATCCGGAACAACGCAGAGGGGAGAGGCGTACAAGTGTTCCGGGTAGCCAAACTCGACCCAGCTCGGATATGGCAGCTGTCGTTCTTCCACGGCTCCATAGTGATCGGCAGTGCTGTTACCGGCAGTATAGTACCTGTCAATCGTGCGAACAGGTGTTGTCGCGAGGCGTCCAGGTTGGGACACGCGGTTCCTCGTGATACCGGATCCCGGTGTCGTCGATCGATCAACAGACACGAGCTTAGCTCGCGCGCTTTCTTACCGACCGAAAGTGTTTCTGTGATACGGTGAATGTGAATCGAAGAGGAAGTACGGCGTAAAAGGAAAAGAGGAAAATACAATTGCTGCATCGCTGTCAGCATGATTCTATTAAGGATGATGAACGTGGCCATCGATTCACCGTGGCCTGTGTCCAGGTTTCGCGGCACTCTTCTACTACTCCTGACGCTACTCGCCGAGGTGAGTAGGACGTGAGGTGATGGATAATCGTATGAATGTAGGACGTGTTGTTGGAATGCCTTCCTAAGACAGAGTCTCTGCACGCGCGGACCTACGGCATTCGAAACCTCCTTTATGCTCAACGTTTTTCTGACTACCTGATTTTAACGATGGAAGTGTACGACCTTCGAAACAACGATTAGGCCCAAATTTTGCACAATTGCAAGGAAACCCTAATAAAAATTATTTTGCAAAGTTATATATTTACCTCTCCAAAACAAGAGAGAAATTCAGTTGGGTGCTTAATGCAATTTAAATAGTTAACTGGATGTTAAAATTTCTCCTTTATTTAGGAGATGTGGCTTTATGATATTGCAGAAATATTGCGTCTATGGTCTTTTATAATTGTGCCAAGTTTGGACCAAATCAGTGCCCCAAAGATCCTGTACTTCCTTTGTAAGCGTATTAACCAAAGACCATTTATATAAATTGTTGTCTATAATTGTAGTGGTTATTAAATAAAATATACTTCAATTGATCGATAAATCTTACCCCATCTTTACTCGCATACGTACTTACTTACTGATTTAAAATTTCGACCGAGTGACTTCAAGTCAACAAGTTTCATGAAACGAAAGAATCATAATAAAGAAGAAGAGACATTTAATGAAATATTTTCGTATCCATAATGAACCGGCATAAGTATCATAAAAATAAAATACATTTTTGTTATTAGTATTGTCAGCGTTTCTCTTTGTAAAAGAAACCTTATAGAATTTTCTTCTTTAAAATGATAATGTAAAAGTACTTTGATTTCTGAATAAGAAATGAAAGAAATATCGTTATTCTTTTCAAAAAGAATATCAGAATCATTATCATAAATATTTCTTCTTATAGATCACTGTTCACGTTAGTATCTGGTAAAGAAGAATTATTCATTCTTTCAGATAACACTTATATAAGATTTATATAATTCGAATTAGTCGTTATTTCTACGCTTCTCAATTTTACATACCTCTGTTCATAACTACGATTATCAGACGTACATTGAAACTCGTATTTCATTATTATTTCCCCAAGAAGACACACATTCTTCTTGTTAACGTCTATATTAAATACACGATAAAATATTTGGCAAATAAATTATTTAGAAATGATTTATTTTTCAAATAAGATATTGGACCTATATCTGCCTATATCTCTATTTTCAAATGAGTTTATTTATTATCTTATTTGGAGTAATTATTTATCTTTTTCATTTCAAACAAAAAGTGCCGAGCTTTAACATGGTATTTGGTATAAGAAAACCATGTTTTCAAAATAAACTTCCGAAATTGTGTCCATAATAAGTTCCCTCTAACGTTGCATTTGAAGAAGTGCATCATCAGCTTCTGCGACATCAACCGTAGTGGTACCCAGTTAAAAATGTCTCGAGATAAATATTATCAACTGTCGTAAGAACTTAGAGCATTTCTCAGTTGAAATTCCCTCAGCTTGATAGTTTACGAGCGTTCACTGCAAATGTGAGTCGTGGTCGGTGAAGGGGAACACTGTCAATATCTAGTCTTCTTTGCGTGGCCGATTTCTGTCTCCGCGTTGCGAAACTCGTCCGACTTTTCCAGCTGTCGAGAATGCCTCCTCGCAGCCCGATGCCCATTGACCCCTGAATTTGTGGTCCAACAAGTTACGAGCGTTACTTATCTACTCGTTTACTCAACATACTGAGTTTCCGTGAAACGAAAGCTTTTATTTTATGGAACTTACAGATTGTGAAATTAATATAGGTAATACCAATATTCATTAGAAGTATTGCTTTTATTTACCTATTAAGTATTTTTAATTGGGTTATTGCTACGTGATGTTTCTGAGAAAAAGATTGAATGATATAAGAAGATATATTTTTTCATGGCTTCAATTCTCTTACAAGTGCAACGATGCACCGAAGAGGGAAATGCATATTATTTTTTATGCAGATTAATTTGAACTATTTTGTAATAGAAGTACGAGGGTATAATATTAGGAAAATCAATCATTTCTGGAGATATTTCAATTTTAAAATCGAGATAATTCAAGCATTAGTAATTTTACCACTCCAACGATTAGTTAGATTATTTAATAGAACAGCATGGATCAGCAATAGATTAAATAGGGCTTATGAGATTGATCTCAGCCAGTTCAGCATTCTACTTAATTTGAATATTTAACGCGTCACGCAGCATGGCTATTACGTACACTTAATTACGTAATAGGTTTTAATTTCCCTGTGTTGTAACGAAGGTTGCTGGTTTTATCTAACATCGCCCTTTTACGGAACATCGAAAAAGTTGTAACTGTTGAAAAATTAAATTCAAGATCTGTTCATTCATAAATTCACTTTTTTCACTCATAATTAACTCTTCGTAAAGAAATTGATGTTTACTTATTTAATTAGAAATGATTTTATTTATAATATTTAGTTAAAAATTAGCTAATGAAAAATACTGAATATCGTTGAAATAATGTGTAAAATATAATATAGAAAAGTTTTTATAGTTATGGTATTATCACTTTTAGAACAGATCACATGCTACTTCCGATTAATGGAAATACTGTAGCCTTCCGGTAAGAACTGTCATATTGTTAGATTTTTACGAGTTTGTTGCTTTCAATTGTACAGTTTATTTTCACGGAGCTTATATTTTATGAATCTGCAAACATTCTCGATCAGATTTGCATTTGGTGATTGCGAAGGCCAGTCCTATGCCATCATTATCTTTCTATTAGGTTATCCAGAAAGTTTTAATCCTTTTCTCCTATTTATTTTAAGAATAAATATAGTCTATTTTAGTCTAATATTTATACATTTTTCCCATTCAATGAATAAGCAAAAGAAAAGTTCGTTCACGTTGAAAACAATCGAGAACAGGCGTTGTCTGTCATTCGAGCGCGAAGCGATTTCATTTGCTACGAACCACGTTGGCTTAACCAACTTTCGCCAAAGAAACTTTCCTCCTCTCGATAAACCATAATGTATATACTCAGTTCTTCGGCTGCAAAGTTTCGTTTCATTCGAGGAATATTCTGTAACTTCTTATTTTTTAATTACTGAAAAACTCCATTTAGATCTTTCCATGGATGATGCTATTATAGATCAGAATGAAGATACTTTCAAACTTTTACCTGTGATTAATAAGAGAATTATTAGCAAATATAATTTGAACATTAATTTCCCTAATCCTTTCGCTGTGATAGGCAACAAATTTATAGCTCTGACATAATTCCTTGCTAAATAATATCAAAATGTTAATTAATGTATTGTTAGCAACAATAATTATTTATCGTTAAGGGGGAAGGTGGAAGTTGTACTTAGGAACACGATAACTTAGATGCTGTTTGATGAATTTTTTAAGCACCTGTAGGCACCAATAAAGGGTTAATGAAGTGTACTTGCTATAAACAGTCCTAAATTAAAAGCATGTACTTACTTGTTAATTAGAAAAAGAAATTTGGATGCTGAAATTTGACTATCTATTTCTAAAACATTTTAGTCTTAAATAGTTGCCTCCCAAGTTAATTTTCATTGTTTCCACGTTCTCACGCAAAATATCGACGTATGAATGGAACATTATAATGTAGTAGATTATTTACATGCGTCGGTGAACAGTAACTAGGTTAAGTGAAAGTGAATAAAGATCGGTATAAAAACAATGAAAAACGGATATGGGAGACAACGGCCGCAGGTTGAAGGACAGAAAAAATTGCGGAATTTTTGCATCCTTTAAGGTTATTCTTTATTTGTTACCAGAGGTGTAAAAAAAATTAAGCAATATATGCATTTATAGAGGTTTAACATCATTTGTAATTTTCTGATAAAAAGCAGTAAACACTAATTATAAGTTTATCTTTAAGAACAAGTTTTGAATGCAAATGAACGATGGGCAAACATCCTGATTTCTAAAATTCTATTATTTCAAAAGATCAATTAGCAGTGATAATTTATGAAAATAAAAACAAGCCTAAACGTTGAAGGTAACGTAGAAAACGATTCCACGGTTGTTTGGCAAACAAGGTGAAATTATAATTAACTCGACTGCACGATACAAGAGATAAGGTAATAAAATATAACAGACATCTGTTTCAATTTTGTTGCAGCGAGCTGATTTCACGGACGAGCGAGAATTTTCGCGTTATTGTATTTGCATCGGTTCTGTTTTCAACGTTACAACGTCCGTTCGTGCAATTAATGTAATTTATGATGAAATTTTCCGCGAATGAAATATACGTCTGGCTGTGTTAACATAACAAAAAAAAGAGACCGCATGTTTCAAAACTTTAAACAACGAGTATATTGCTCAAATGTCTGAGATGTTTTAAAATTGTTATAACAATTATTTATAGCAATGCTAATTAGGCCGAAAATGATTGATTTCTTATAATTGTTGGAATCTTGAAAAGTAAAGGATTTCTTGATATCTTTTAAAAAGTTTGTTCATTTAGTTTAGACAATTGATTGTTCATTTTCTAATTACTCAGTCATTAATAACTTAATCAATAATACTGATTAAAACGTTCAACAGCAGTAAAGAAGTTTCTAAATTAAAATTCCACAACTTAGGAATATATTACTGTTTCAAATTTTCCATTTTTACTTATCCCACTGTACATGAATAAAGAAACAAATATTATCGAGCAACAAGAATTCAAATTAAAAACAGTTCGTGATAGAATTTCTGCGTAATTTCATGTATGCCTTAATTGTGCGATATCGGAGTTATACATTCCATACGTCATTGATAATACAATTATAGGTATCTGGAATTTAGGTTACTGCAGTACTGATTGAAGCTATCAAAAGCAATTGAATATTCGAAATTGCCAAAGTTCACTAATCAACGTCTTTATTGCTGATAGCACATACCAGTAACTCATATGATCCCAACAAATGGATTCATGCCATTTTGGATCGCACAGCTTCGATGTATCGTTGAATTTGAAATTTCAAACGTAAATTGGAAGCGAATTGTTCAAATTTCGTCGTGGAA